TCTCCATCTATACTGCCTCCCTTGGTAAACTCATTAGCTCCTTTGGCTTCCAATATCATTTCTATGCAGATGACATGCAAATCTACCTGTCCTCTCCTGATCTCTCCCCGTCCCTCTTGACTAGTGTCTCTGACTGCCTCTCTGCTGTTTCTAACTGGATGGCTGCCCACTTCCTTAAACTAAACTTGACCAAAACTGAAATTCTGGTCTTTCCTCCCTCAAGTGTTGTTACTCCTGTGTCTGTCTCCCTCCAAGTCACCGGTGCTGCCATCAGCTCCACCACGCAGGCTCACTGCCTAGGTGTTCTCTTTGACTCCATCTCCTTCAAGCCTCATGTTCAATCTATTGCCAAATCCTGTCATTTCCATCTCAAAAACATTGCGCGCATCCGCCCCTACTTAACGCCAGATGCGACTAAGGTGTTGGTCCATTCCACTGTCCTTTCTCGCATTGACTACTGTAATCCGCTTCTCGGTGGTCTTATGTGCTCCCAACTTGCGCGATTACAGTCCATAATGAATGCGGGGGCGAGGCTCATCTTCTTGTCCGCCCGCACCTCCCATGCTTCACCCTTCTGTCAGTCCCTACATTGGCTTCCTATAAAATATAGATCTCAATGTAAAATTCTGGTTCTTGCTTTCAAATCTCTACATAATGCTGCTCCCACCTATCTATCCTCCCTTATACACAAGTATGTCCCGTCTAGGCCCTTACGATCTGCTGAAGACTTACGTCTATCTTCTGTCCGTACTACCAACCTCTGATGCTCGCCTTCAAGATTACTTGAGGGCTGCACCGTTCCTGTGGAACTCGCTTCTCTCCTCCATTAGATGCTCACCCAGACTCCACTCCTTCAAAAAATCGTTAAAAACCCACTTCTTCATAAAACCGTATCAATTAAACTGTTAATAGCTCCTGACTGATTCCTCTTCTGCAACTGTCACTAGTCTAATACTATCCTTACCTTTTTGTGTCATTTTACCCCACTCCCTCTAGCATGTAAGCTCATTGAGCAGGGCCCTCAACCCCTCTGTTCCTGTGTGTCTAACTTGTCTGGTTAGAACTACATGTCTGTCCGTCCACCCATTGTAAAGCGCTGCGGAATTTGACGGCGCTCTATAAATATCATAATAATAATAATGTGTCTACTGCTGAGTTTTTAGAGTGTTGGTGTATTGGTATTTGTTCAGTGCTGAATGTGGGAAGAGTATTGGTGAGTGTTTATTGTTTTTATTTGGGGGTGTTGGTGTGTTTATTGTTGGGTTTGGAGAATGCTGGTGTGTGTGTTTATTGTTGTATTGAGAAGTGTTGATGTATTAGTATGTTTACTGCTGCGTTTTAAAACTGTTGGTGTATTGGTGTGTGTTTATTGTTTTCTTTGGGGAGTATAGTATGTGTTTACTGTTGTGTTTGAAGAGTGTTGGCGTATTGGTGTGTTTTTATTGCTGCATTTGAGGAGAGTTTGAGTTTTGGTTTGTATTTATTATTCTGTTTGTTGAGTGTTGAGTATACTGGTGTGTGTTTACTGTTGAGTTTTTAGATTGTTGGTGTATTGGTATTTGTTATTTGCAGAATTTGGAAGAAGTTGGCGTATTGATGTGTGTTTACTGTTGTGTTTGGAGAACATTGGTGCACTAGTATGCGTTTGTTGTTGTGTTGTTTGTTTTAAGAGTTTATAGCTATGCTTGTTGATTTATGTTTATTGTTGTGTTGGAGTTTTCATGTGTGCTTATTCTTTGCTTTGTATGTGTTTATGGTTATGGTTGTGATTTTTATTATTGTTGTGTTGTGGAATTGACGTGTGTTAATCGTTGTGTTGGTTTTTCTGTGTTTATTCATGTGATATTCATGTGTTATTTATTGTGTATTTAATGCCATTGCAGTGTATTCATGTGATATTTATTGTGTGTTTAATGCCATGCAATGTATTCATGTGATATTTATTGTGTATTTAATGCCATGCAGTGTATTCATGTGATATTTATTGTGTGTTTAATGCCATGCAGTGTATTCATGTGATATTTATTGTGTGTTTAATGCCATGCAGTGTATTCATGTGATATTTATTGTGTGTTTAATGCCATTGCAGTGTATTCATGTGATATTTATTGTGTGTTTAATGCCATGCAGTGTATTCATGTGATATTTATTGTGTGTTTAATGCCATGCAGTGTATTCATGTGATATTTATTGTGTGTTTAATGCCATGCAGTGTATTCATGTGATATTTAGTGTGTGTTTAATGCCATGCAGTGTATTCATGTGATATTTAGTGTGTGTTTAATGCCATGCAGTGTATTCATGTGATATTTAGTGTGTGTTTAATGCCATGCAGTGTATTCATGTGATATTTATTGTGTGTTTAATGCCATGCAGTGTATTCATGTGATATTTAGTGTGTGTTTAATGCCATGCAGTGTATTCATGTGATATTTATTGTGTGTTTAATGCCATGCAGTGTATTCATGTGATATTTAGTGTGTGTTTAATGCCATGCAGTGTATTCATGTGATATTTAGTGTGTGTTTAATGCCATGCAGTGTATTCATGTGATATTTAGTGTGTGTTTAATGCCATGCAGTGTATTCATGTGATATTTAGTGTGTGTTTAATGCCATGCAGTGTATTCATGTGATATTTAGTGTGTGTTTAATGCCATGCAGTGTATTCATGTGATATTTAGTGTGTGTTTAATGCCATGCAGTGTATTCATGTGATATTTAGTGTGTGTTTAATGCCATGCAGTGTATTCATGTGATATTTATTGTGTGTTTAATGCCATGCAGTGTATTCTGTGATATTTATGTGTTTAATGCCATGCAGTGTATTCATGTGATATTTATTGTGTGTTTAATGCCATGCAGTGTATTCATGTGATATTTATTGTGTGTTTAATGCCATGCAGTGTATTCATGTGATATTTATTGTGTGTTTAATGCCATGCAGTGTATTCATGTGATATTTAGTGTGTGTTTAATGCCGTGCAGTGTATTATGTTATATTTATTGTGTGTTTAATGCCGTGCAGTGTATTCATGTGATATTTATTGTGTGTTTAATGCCGTGCAGTGTATTCATGTGATATTTAGTGGTGTTTAATGCCGTGCAGTGTATTCATGCGATATTTAGTGTGTGTTTGCCATGCAGTGTATTCATGTGATATTTATTGGGTGTTTAATGCCATGCAGTGTATTCATGTGATATTTAGTGTGTGTTTAATGCCATTGCAGTGTATTCATGTGATATTTATTGTGTGTTTAATGCCATGCAGTGTATTCATGTGATATTTAGTGTGTGTTTAATGCCATTGCAGTGTATTCATGTGATATTTATTGTGTGTTTAATGCCATGCAGTGTATTCATGTGATATTTATTGTGTGTTTAATGCCATGCAGTGTATTCATGTGATATTTAGTGTGTGTTTAATGCCATGCAGTGTATTCATGTGATATTTATTGTGTGTTTAATGCCATGCAGTGTATTCATGTGATATTTATTGTGTGTTTAATGCCATGCAGTGTATTCATGTGATATTTAGTGTGTGTTTAATGCCATGCAGTGTATTCATGTGATATTTAGTGTGTGTGTAATGCCATGCAGTGTATTCATGTGATATTTAGTGTGTGTTTAATGCCATGCAGTGTATTCATGTGATATTTAGTGTGTGTTTAATGCCATGCAGTGTATTCATGTGATATTTAGTGTGTGTTTAATGCCATGCAGTGTATTCATGTGATATTTATTGGGTGTTTAATGCCATGCAGTGTATTCATGTGATATTTATTGGGTGTTTAATGCCATGCAGTGTATTCATGTGATATTTAGTGTGTGTTTAATGCCATGCAGTGTATTCATGTGATATTTAGTGTGTGTTTAATGCCATGCAGTGTATTCATGTGATATTTATTGTGTGTTTAATGCCATGCAGTGTATTCATGTGATATTTATTGTGTGTTTAATGCCATGCAGTGTATTCTGTGATATTTATTGTGTGTTTAATGCCATGCAGTGTATTCATGTGATATTTATTGTGTGTTTAATGCCATGCAGTGTATTCATGTGATATTTATTGTGTGTTTAATGCCATGCAGTGTATTCATGTGATATTTAGTGTATTCATGTGATATTTATTGGGTGTTTAATGCCATGCAGTGTATTCATGTGATATTTATTGTGTGTTTAATGCCATGCAGTGTATTCATGTGATATTTATTGTGTGTTTAATGCCATGCAGTGTATTCATGTGATATTTATTGTGTTTAATGTCATGCAGTGTATTCATGTGATATTTATTGTGTGTTTAATGCCATGCAGTGTATTCATGTGATATTTAGTGTGTGTTTAATGCCATGCAGTGTATTCATGTGATATTTATTGTGTGTTTAATGCCATGCAGTGTATTCATGTGATATTTAGTGTGTGTTTAATGCCATGCAGTGTATTCATATTATATTTAGTGTGTGTTTAATGCCATGCAGTGTATTCATGTGATATTTATTGTGTTGTTAATGCCATGCAGGGTATTCATGTGATATTTATTGTGTCACACAGGCATCACAAGAAACCAGGAACTACATCACCCAGAACTCTGTGCGAGCAGAGACCAGCCGGAGGGGGCGTGGCCAGAGTGGGTGAGCGGGAGGACAGATGGGCGTGGTTGTAGAGGACAGGGAATGAAGGCGGAGTTAAATTGAGCATGTGTGGAGAGAGGAGGGCGGGGCTGCGTGGGCGTGTGGGAGGAGATGAGGGCGTGACTAGTGTGGGTGTTGGAGGGGAGGTGCGCTGAGTGAATGGGAGGAGGGGCAGAGAGGCGGAGAGCTGTTGCCTGGTAACAGCACCAAGGGTGATTCTGAGAGTAGATCATTAAAGCCAGTGCTGTGCCTGTGTGGGTGTGTGTTTCAGTGCTGTGTCTGTCAATTATGTCTGTGTGTATCTGTGCTATGTGTGTTTGTGTTTGTCAGTGCTTTGTGTTTTGTGTCAGTACTGTCTGTTTGTCAGTACTGTGTGTTTGTCAGAGCTGTGTGTGTTCTTTTCAGTGCTGTATGTTCTTGTCAGAGCTGTGTGTGTCAGAGAGCTGTGTGTGTGTGTGTGTCAATACTGTGTGTGTCAGAGCTGTGCGTGTGTGTGTCAGAGCTGTGTGTGTTCTTGTCAGTGCTGTGTGTGTTTCAGTACTGTGTTTGTCAGTTATGTATGTGTGTCAGTGCTGTGTGTTTTTTGTGTTTGTCAGTGCTGTGTGTTCATGTCAGTACTGTGTGTGTGTTTGTCAGTGCTGTGTGTTTGTGTCAGAGCTGTGTGTGTGTGTGTTTGTCAGTACTTTGTGTTTGTGTCAGTGCTTTGTGTTTGTGTCAGTACTGTGTGTGTGCTTGTCAGTGCTCTGTGTTTGTGTCAGTGCTGTGTGTTTGTCAGAGCTGTGTGTGTGTCAGAGCTGTGTGTGTGTTTGTCAGTGCTGTGTGTTTGTGTCAGTACTGTGTGTGTGTCAGAGCTGTGTGTTCTTGTCAGTGCTGTGTGTGTTTCAGTGCTGTGTGTGTGTTTGTCAGTGCTTTGTGTTTGTGCCAATACTGTGTGTGTGTCAGTACTGTGTGTGTTCTTGTCAGTGCTGTGTGTGTCAGAGGTGTGTGTTCTTGTCAGTGCTGTGTGTGTTTCAGTGTTGTGTGTGTCAGTACTATGTGAGTGTGTCAGTGCTGTGTGTGATTCAGTGCTGTGTATGTATCAGTGCTATGTGTGTTGTTTCTGTGTTTTTGCAGAATTTGGCCATGTGTCTCTTTGTATGGCTGTGTGTTTGTATTTCACTAGGACATGGAATCCTGCGAATCTATATTCAGGGAAAATTCCCTGTACATAGATTAGTGAACTAGGAACTAGGGCTTATTTTTTGGGGGGAAACAGTAAATATGTATGTGTGTGACCATGCATGTTTGTGTACCTGTTTTGCTGGATTGGTATAGATGTGTGTATGTTGTTTGTCTGTATCAATGTGTGTTTGTGTACTGTAGACATATGTATATATGTATGTTTGTGTACATGTGTGTGCAAATATGTGCATGTATGTTTATCAACATGTATGTATAAATACATATTTCCCAATCATGTCCATTGATGTTTGTATGCATTCATATATGTGTTTATAATACATGTGTTTGTAAATACGTGCATGTTTTTAAAAGGCATATTTGGTGGTGTGCATTGATCTCAGACACTTCCTGGTCTCTTCAAACTTTGAGAATTTGCCGCAAGTAATGGTCATTCAGAGCTGAATATCACGTTGTTCAATTTTTATTTTTTATTTCTTACATTAACATCAAAATACATTCCAAAATGGTGTTGATCTTATCGTGCAGTGCATTTATTAAATTATGTTATTACAAATCAGGATTTCCATTGGGTTCAATTTCATATGACGATTGGTCCATAATCCTAGAAAGTGTGTCAAACATCAGTAGCACTTATTCAAAATGACACTTCCTGCCACATTGTGTTGCATCACTACCCAGATTCCTGTGCATGCCCTCTAGAAACAGCTCTCTCTGCACATTTGGAAGAGGCAACCAGAGAGAATCACTGGCTGAGGGACAGCATTTAATTAAGCAGATTTCCCCTCATCCTTTCATATAAATCCTGGAGTTGACATTCTAGTTACTTGACCTACCAATCTGACCTAGAAGAAGGACCCAAGGCTAGAAAGGACCCTATATTTCTGTTGCCTAAAAGAGAGATGTCCTCAACTGAATTCATTGTTGGCTGACAATAATATAAATTGTATATGGTAATAGGAATAAGCTGCTGTGCTGAGTGGCCATAGCATACCTCCAAAGTGTCCCTATTCAGGAGGTATAGTCCCTATTTTGGGTCCAAATGTCCCTCTTTTCTAGGAGCTCCATATTGTTGGTGTGTCTGAGTGTATAACAGAGCTCCACAGCAATAATACTCCCAGTAATGTGTCTGAGTGTATAACAGAGCTCCACAGCAATAATACTCCCAGCAATGTGTCTGAGTGTATAACAGAGCTCCACAGCAATAATACTCCCAGTAATGTGTCTGAGTGTATAACAGAGCTCCACAGCAATAATACTCCCAGTAATGTGTCTGAGTGTATAACAGAGCTCCACAGCAATAATACTCCCAGTAATGTGTCTGAGTGTATAACAGAGCTCCACAGCAATAATACTCCCAGTAATGTGTCTGAGTGTATAACAGAGCTCCACAGCAATAATACTCCCAGTAATGTGTCTGAGTGTATAACAGAGCTCCACAGCAATAATACTCCCAGTAATGTGTCTGAGTGTATAACAGAGCTCCACAGCAATAATACTCCCAGTAATGTGTCTGAGTGTATAACAGAGCTCCACAGCAATAATACTCCAAGTAATGTGTCTGAGTGTATAACAGAGCTCCACAGCAATAATACTCCCAGTAATGTGTCTTTAAACTACAATAAATATGTTTAGAAATCAGTCTGTGCAAATAAGATACATTGTTCCTGTGCCAAATAACATTTTAGTTACATGAATTATCAGGAAACAGAAAACTACAATTTTATGACAAGACACGGAGGCTCATATTGCATATCTCTTTCTTTACTGTCCACCAATAGCAGCAAAGGATACAAACAGAATGAAAAAATAATGAATATTCAGTAAAATAGGCCCCTCCCTGATCAAGTCCCAGTATAACAGGCAGCATCTCCTTTCCATAATCCTCTTTCTTTGCTGCTCCGCAGTCAGATAAGTACTCTATTGTTCTCTATGTCACAATTGCATTATATCTTGTATTATTGATATATTCTTATGTGTTTATTTTATATCACAGTTATATTTATATAGTTATATGTTCCTTTTAATATTCTTGCACTTATATTTTAGTGTTTTGTATTTGTTTCTCGTCTGTTCAGGTTCCCAGACCAGTTGTAGTATTGTTATTCCCCTTGCTCTGGATGTGTTTCATTCCTCTCCCTATACCTTACCTGGTTTAACTTGTTTCCTTACACTTTCCCCATTATCTGTTAATTTCTGCTGGCTTTCCCTGCTTTTGCTAGCTGCCACGGATCCCGGTCCGTTTTTTGGCGCCATTTTGCGGTGTGTTCGTATCGCCATTCGGCTCCTTTCGGCGGTTCGGGAGTTTCATGTTCTTCAGGTTTTCTCTTTCGCCTGTTTTCCATCTCATATATGTTTCCTGTTCGATGCACAAACGGATGCTGTTCGGCAGTTTTTTGGTTTCGTTTTCACTTTCGTGCAGTTCTCTGCTCCCGCGATTTTTGCGAGCTCAGAGCCTGCGCCCTTCCGGTTTTTCCTCCCCCTCCCTGTATTCCCTTCCTGCCTCGTGTGTGTGCCCTGTGTCTGGGCCCTGGTGAGATCTATATTTGTTTTTTCCTCTGTGAGTTTCAGGCTGGGTGACTAACCCTACTGTGACTTTGCTATTTTGCTACCTTTATTAGAATTAGTGCCCTTATATGCCAGTATGCCCAAGCCCAGGCAACTCACCGTTTCTCCCCCATCCGAGGAGTTAGATGTCCCTCTGGCCCTGGGAGATACTCCGGCCTCTATAGATTTTTCACCCACATTGGCAGACATGCCCACCCACTCGGAGGGGGCCCAATATTTGGCACTTCAGCACTCAGTGACAGAAGCCATTATGGCAGCCATGGGATCTATGTCTTCCACCCTCTCCCACACTATTTCCCAGGCACTGCTTCCACTTCCTACGGACGCATAGAACGTGGGCTTCACGGCACCTCAATTGCGTCCTTCTATGGACCCGCCTGGACAGACACCCAGAAAGGCAGCCCATAAGGCCAAACACTCCAATCCACCTGCCTCCAGAACCCATAAGACTGGCGTACCTACGGTAGCCCCAGAAAGTGTGTCCCTTACACACAAGAGAGCCTTACCGCACCAGGCAGAACGGGCGCGGCTATGGAAATGTGCTAGAGCACAACCTGAGAGCGACTCCGACTCTGAAATTGAGTCTAGTGAGGAGGCTATGGCTGAGTCAGATACCGACTCTGAGAACGATGCCGCTGAGAAGGGATATGCAATACTCGTCTCTGTGTCTTTAATAAAATCATGACTTTTCGTCATGTAATAGCAAAATCATGTAATTTCTCAGCACAGGCCGCCCCTGGCCACACCCCAGCTCACAGCCTTAAAACCAAAGTGTCCCTGTTTGTCCATATGAAATGTTGGGAGGAATGCCATAGTAATTACATATATATTTAATGCCATGATTAGAGAAATCTTCTCTCTCTCTCTCTCTCTCTCTCTCTCTCTAAAACCCGACTGCCATAGACGTATCTTTGGATATTTCCACTTGCAGAAAAATAGCTTATACCTTATCAATTGTGGTTGTCACACTTATGGTGGAATGGTTTGAGGCACTAGAACCTTGCTCACTGATACTTATCAACATCATTATAAAGTTTAGAGTTGGCAGAAATTCTAAAGGAAATTGTCGATCTGAAACAGCAACTTGAGTCACACAAGGACTGTAAAAATCTAAAAATCATTTGATGACAAACTGAATAATAAATTGGACAAAATTGAAGCATAAATTATTGAAAAGAAGGAAAAAAAGTTAATATGCGATAACGAAGACTATGAACAAAGCAATGTATATATTAGACGCAAAAGAAATCGACACTCACAGAGAAGACCTTCACGTTGAACCTTGAAAAACCACAAAAAAGTAGCATTTGGCGAGATAGCAGTATAAGTGATGTATCACAGATTTTCTGGGATGCTTATCTGTATCCAAGGTCAGTGGGAGATCGCATTATCTCAATTCAATTGGTCCTCTAAATAAACATTTGTCGGAATGAGTGGATTACCTTTTGTAGCCTTTAGCTACTTATTATTATTATGTTATTATGTATATAGCGCCATCAAATTCCGCAGCGCTTTACAATTGGTGGAGACATCAAACATATCTTTGAGGAATTTAATATCAGTAGTACTTTGATTTTGTGATATTAGATGTAACAGCGTTATATTCGGTAACAGTTTGAATGACAAACGTTGGAATATCATTTAGATTTCTACAGTACTTACACCATTACCTTAATCCACTTCATTCTAGTGGAAGTTAGGTATCTATTGGAACATAACTTATGTTTGCTATCTCCAGAGGCATGAGACTTAAATGGGGGCCAAATTTACCCGCTTTATTAAACAGAACAAAGGTTTTATAATAACGGTCAATAAAGGAGATTCTAGGGGTGTTTCATTAATCACCAATCAAATATTGACAATTATTAACTAATAGCATGGATAACTCATGCAAATAACATGGTGCAATTATGTAACAAATCATCGATCCACAACTTATCTAAGGGGCATTATAAGGTGGGGGCTACTTAGAATAGTAGGGAGTAGGGGTAATGTCTTCTTAGAAGAGGGGGAACAAGAATGGTCATGTGCAAAACTACGTATGCGATGTGGACGTTCTTGCAATGCATGTCAGCTGAACAGAAATTAACTCCTTCAGTATCAGAGCTCCATCTTATTATTGTGTTTTTTTTTTTACAGTATTGTGTATGTACTTCTGTGGAGTATCATTAGATAAAGACTTGAGGATATCTTTCACCCTTTGTTATATCAGCAAGTGATACTAGGTAGATTGTAAAACAGTTTTTTAAGGGTTTTTTTATGGATAGATTTTTCCCTTCTTTAGCTATTTGGAAACCCGCATTATGTTGGGTAATTACTGGTTTGAGTACATATGTTAATATTGCTGTAGTAGCTAAAGTCATTTAGCCCCCCTCTCCCCCTTCCCCGCAGGCACTGGACACTCAGCAGAACAGTCACTGTTGTCACCCAGGCAGACAGTGACAAAGCTGAATTAACGGGTAACTCTTGTAACAATTGTTTTGATTAGAGTAACCCTTGCTGTGCTGGTCTGACCCAAATATAAAAAAAAAAAAGCTAAAAATCACTAGTGCAAGGACCAGTTCTCCCTGCAGCCCGAGCCTCCCTGGCTCACATCAATTTCCCTCGCTGGATGGGGAGGATAAGGGCCACACGGAGGGCACTGTGTGTGCTGGCTTATGCAAAATTTGTACAGGATTCACATTAGCCACTCAGCACTCTTGTGATATTGTGGCTGGAGGTGGGGTTACACATCCGGCAGCAGAGGGGCTAATCTCTGTACCTTCAGCACTTCATAGCGAAACACTACACATACAGACTCCAGGTACCATGAACACTTCAAATAAACAAAGTGGTCATTGCGCAAGGAGTAATCCTTTAATCCATATGAATAAGTATAACACAACAGTTATAAAAAAAAAATTAAAAGGACATTCTAAGTACCATAACCACTACAGCTCCTTGTTCAAGACGTGATGCTAGTAAGTTACTGGTGCCGTTTCCTCGTTCTGTTTTAAATCATTTTTGAGGGGTGTAACAGAAAACCAGAATCCCACTTGTTGCTCGTTAAATTGCTAATGCAGAAGTTACATCAATTTTGCCCAAATGTAGACAGATACGGATTGGCTGAGAGTGTCAGATGACATGATTATCCAATCAATGCCATCAGAAATTGGATGCAGTTTTTCCAAATAATTTTTCCCCCCCATACAATTCACTATAATTCTGTGCTTAGTGAAGAAAACCCTCTGTTTTATTACCATTTTGTGAGATTTATTTTTATTCTGTGATCTGTGTAGTGGTTTGGGGAAATATGATGACTTTTCGTCATGTAATAGCAAAATCATGTAATTTCTCAGCACAGGCCGTCCCTGGCCACACCCCAGCTCACAGCCCTAAAACCAAAGTGTCCCTGTTTGTCCATATGAAATGTTGGGAGCAATGCCATAGTAATTACATATATATTTAATGCCATGATTAGAGAAATCTCCTCTCTCTCTCTCTCTCTCTCTCTCTCTCTGTAAAATTAAACGGCTGTAGAGAAAAATAACTCTGTTGGGGATCCTACCAATAGTATATAGTGGAAAACAGAAAAACCTGACTGCCATAGACGTATCTTTGGATATTATTTCCACTTGCAGAAAAATAGCTTATACCGTATCAATTGTGGTTGTCACACTTATGGTGGAATGGTTTGAGGCACTAGAACCTTGCTCACTGATACTTATCAACATCATTATAAAGTTTAGAGAGGCACAGTTTACAGAAATTCTAAAGGAAATTAAAGGAGATACAGCTTTCACAAATGGACCAATCCAGAATGCCCTTGTTTCCAATCACAAAATCTATATTTCCATTCCCTCCTGCGTATAACCCCCCCTCCCAGCCCCCATTCCCTGCTCCAGTCCATGCTGTCCATGCTGTGTGTTCCGTCTTTGTTTATATGACTGTATCAGGTCACATGCAGGCTAATGTCACATTGCCTGGGGACATTGTCACTGTAAAGAGATTTTATGTACAGTGCACACCAGGGGGTGATGCTAATCACTGTGTGTAGTGGGGAGGGGACGATTGAGGGTAGTTGTGTCTTGTAAGTCAGACAGTAGCAAGCTTGAGGGTGCAGGTACTCTGAGATGGAGGTAGATGGGTGTTCAAAAAATATCCATACACAATGAAGTTGGTGACGGTGTGGGTTTGGGCATTTAGTTTGCCGTGTCTGTGTGTCCCAGTGGTACTATATATTTGTTGTCCTTTTCATCACTGATACTCAGTTTGTGTTTACATTTGTTTGTGTCTATGGAGGCATATTGGGATATAGAATATCCCTTCTTCTACGTATCTACTGTGAGAAAGTAAACTGAAATTGTTAAAAATGCAAATTGAGATTGTTACAAATCCTCGGCAGCTCTCTGATAGGCAGGTCTTGCAAGAAGGACTGCAGCAGGTGGACTCTGGAGTCTCCTGGGCTGCCTCTTCACTATAGAAACCAGCAGTGGCCCAGGGGTCCGTGGGTGCATAAATGTATATAATGATTCTCGCTATGTATATGCACTTTGAGAATATAGGTCCCAGACCCCCTAGTTGGCTTGGGCCCCGTACAGTCATATAGGCAGCCCTGTGTGTAAGGGATGCACTCTGTGTTTGTATAGAGGATGCAGTGTGTGTATGTGTAAGGGATGTAGTGTGTGCTTGTATAGACGATGACGTATATGTTTGTATAGAGAATGCAGTGTGTGTGTGTATGTGTAAGGGATGTAGTGTGTGTTTGTATAAAGGATGCCATATATGTTTGTATAGAGGATGTAGTGTGTGTGTATGTGTAAGGGGTGTAGTGTGTGTTTGTATAGAGGATGCCATATATGTTTGTATAGAGGAGGCAGTGTGTGTGTATGTGTAAGGGATGTAGTGTGTGCTTGTATAGAGGATGCCATATATGTTTGTATAGAGGATGCAGTGTGTGTGTGTATGTGTAAGGGATGCAGTCTGTGTTTGTATACAGGATGCAGTGTGTGTGTATGTGTAAGGGATGTAGTGTGTGTTTGTATGGAGGATGCAGTATGTGTTTGTATAGAGAATGCAGTGTGTGTATGTGTATGGGATGCAGTCTGTGTTTGTATAGAGGATGCAGTGTGTGTGTGTATGTGTAAGGGATGTAGTGTGTGTTTGTATAGAGGATGCACTGTGTGTGTATGTTTAAGGGTTGCACTCTGTGTTTGTATAGAGGATGCAGTGTGTGTGTATGTGTAAGGCATGCAGTCTGTGTTTGTATAGAGGATGCAGTGTGTGTGTATGTGTAAGGCATGCAGTCTGTGTTTGTATAGAGGATGCAGTGTGTGCATGTGTATGGGATGCAGTCTGTGTTTGTATAGAGGATGCAGTCTGTGTTTGTATAGATGAAACAGTGTGTGTATGTGTAAGGGATGCAGTCTGTGTTTGTATAGAGGATGCAGTGTGTGTGTGTATGTTTAAGGGATGCAGTCTGTGTTTGTATAGAGGATGCAGTGTTTGTGTATGTTTGAGGGTTGCAGTCTGTGTTTGTGTAGAGGATGCAGTGTGTGTGTATGTTTGAGGGTTGCAGTCTGTGTTTGTGTAGAGGATGCAGTGTGTGTGTATGTGTAAGGCATGCAGTCTGTGTTTGTATAGAGGATGCAGTGTGTGCATGTGTAAGGGATGTAGTGTGTGCTTGTATAGAGGATGGCGTATATGTTTGTATAGAGCATGCAGTGTGTGTGTGTGTGTATGTGTAAGGGATGTAGTGTGTGTTTGTATAAAGGATGCCATATATGTTTGTATAGAGGATGCAGTGTGTGTGTGTATGTGTAAGGGATGCAGTCTGTGTTTGTATACAGGATGCAGTGTGTGTGTATGTGTAAGGGATGTAGTGTGTGTTTGTATGGAGGATGCAGTATGTGTTTGTATAGAGAATGCAGTGTGTGTATGTGTATGGGATGCAGTCTGTGTTTGTATAGAGGATGCAGTGTGTGTGTGTATGTGTAAGGGATGTAGTGTGTGTTTGTATAGAGGATGCACTGTGTGTGTATGTTTAAGGGTTGCACTCTGTGTTTGTATAGAGGATGCAGTGTGTGTGTATGTGTAAGGCATGCAGTCTGTGTTTGTATAGAGGATGCAGTGTGTGTGTGTGTGTATGTGTAAGGCATGCAGTCTGTGTTTGTATAGAGGATGCAGTGTGTGTGTGTATGTGCAGTCTGTGTTTGTAGAGGTTCTGTGTTTGTATAGATGAAACAGTGTGTGTATGTGTAAGGGATGCAGTCTGTGTTTGTGTGCAGTGTGTGTGTGTGTATGGGGATGCAGTCTGTGTTTGTATAGAGGATGCAGTGTGTGTGTATGTTTGAGGGTTGCAGTCTGTGTTTGTGTAGAGGATGCAGTGTGTGTGTATGTTTGAGGTTTGCAGTCTGTGTTTGTGTAGAGGATGCAGTGTGTGTGAATGTGTAAGGGATGGAGTGTGTGCGTGGATTTGTGGGGTATGATTGGGGCTCTGGGGGACTGAGAGTGGAGCAGTTTGGTATATTGTGTTTTTATTCCCCACCTCCTCTAGACTGTAAGCTCGTTTGAGCTGGGTCCTCAACTACCTATTGTTCCTGTTAACTTTTGTTATTGTCTCATTTGGTAAATTCCCCTTTTTTTGTAAAGCGCTGCAGAATAAGCTGGCACTATATAAATATCAATAATAATAATAATAATAATAATAATATATTATTTTTTAGCTTGATTTGAGGTTATTAACCCCACCCATTCTTACCTTACTTTGGCTTAGGAGAGGGGGTCACTACATTCCCTGGTTGTCTGGTGGTACACTTGAGCATCCAGCTTGCACCTCCACGTGGGGCCAACTCTTTTCACGATCCCCATTATTGTGCAGCATTGGAGCGTTGCCATGGTAACCTGTGGCAACACTCTGAAAGGCGTACAGAGATCTCCGTCACCGTGTCAGATCGCGGCTGAATATACATATAGCGGTACTCGAATGTAGGATGCATTTGGCATAAAGGATGCAGGCAGTTATTTTTACCCCAGATGGTGGGGTAAAAGACTGCATCCTATATTAAAAAAAAAATCCAGTAGTTTCTCAAAGCAATAATCTTATTTAAAAGTTCCTCATGGACATTTTCTGTGTTTACAATGCCTCATAGTCTAAGTCTCTCTATATCTTGAATTCTTTTCTCACTGTCCTTCTCCCTCTGTACCTAATAATAATGTCTGCACTCTGTCCCCACTGTCACACACAGTCAGTGTCTAGTTAACCCAAGTGTCTCACTGGTTATCTGTCTTATTGTTCCACCCCCACACACCGTGTGTCTCTCATTACCAATGTCTCACTACGGTAGATCTCTGTCTTAATCACTAAACAGTTTAATGTGATGAATTGAAAAACAAATTTGAAAAGTGTTAAAAGGGATAGAGGTGCCAAAGTCTGACAATGGTTGAGTTTGATACATTTTCTAAATGAGCTGTTTTGCCCTACTTTTTGTAATTCTGTTTTCAATTCTGCACAGTTGACTTTTTATTGAATAAACCCCCTGTCTTTTTGCCCTCGCAGTCTCACAATATGTCCTATTGCCCCAACTGTTTCTTTCAGACAGACGAAGGGCTGTGCTTGGGGTTGTGGCCAGTGGCGGGGCTGTCCTGAGTAATTTGAGGTGATTTACTATCTAATAGTTTGTGAAACTAAAATGTAATTTAGAACAGGAACAATGTATCGTATTGACACAGACTGATTTCTAAACACATTTATTGTAGTTTAAAGACACATTACTGGGAGTATTATTGCTGTGGAGCTCTGTTATTCACTCAGACACAATACTGGGAGTATTATTGCTGTGGAGCTCTGTTATACACTCAGACACATTACTGGGAGTATTATTGCTGTGGAGCTCTGTTATACACTCAGACACATTACTGGGAGTATTATTGCTGTGGAGCTCTGTTACACACTCAGACACATTACTGGGAGTATTATTGCTGCGGAGCTCTGTTATACACTCAGACACACCAACAATATGGAGCTCTGAGAAAAGAGAGACATTAGAACAGAAAAGAGAGACAGATGGATTTGGGCACAAAATAGGGACTGGATCTCTTATATAGGGACACTTGGAGGTATGATTTCTCATTGTCCTCTGTCTCACTCAGTATCTCACTTTTGTATGTCGTATCATTCCTACTGTCTAACTTGGTATCTGTTTCATTACTCTCACTGTCTCACCGTGCACCTGTCGCATCATTCCACTGTGTTACTTGGTATCTCTTTCCTCGCTCTCAATGCCTCACTCTGTATCTGTCTCATTGCTCCCATTGTCGCACTATATATGTGTCATTGCTCCCACTGTCACACTCTGTATCTGTCTCAGTGCTCCCACTGTCTGACTTGGTGCCTGTCTCTTTGCTCCGACTGCTTTGCCCTGTGTCTGTCTCATGTCTCACCCTTTCTCACTCTGTATTTGTCTTTTGTACCTAATGCTTAATTTTGTATCAGTCTCATCACTCCCTCTGTCTCACTTTGTATCTATTTAAGTATCCCTGTGGTCTCACTAAGAGTTTGTCGCACTGTCCTCACTGAGTCACTTGGTATCTATGTGATAATCCGCACTCTCACACTTGCTATCTTTCTCTCTATTGGCCCCCTGGACATAGCTTTCAATAAAGCGTATTTTCCTTTCATTAAATCTCTTCTGCACTTACAGGGCGCACTTGACAAAAAGTTGTCACCGCCTGACTCTTACCTGTCTCAAACTTTGTCTTGCCTGTCTTTTTCCCCTGTCTGCGCTGTCTGGCTCTGGGTTCCCCATTTAACAGGAGGCCCTGGGCAAATGCCAACCCTAGATTAAGTGGCCCTTGCCGTTGTGTATCCTTCTGATTGTCCCTTACTGTCCCACGCCGTGTACGCCTCTCCTCCTCCCCTCGCAGCTGTTCTTGTCACTCTGTCCCCGTCCAGCCCTTCTAAGAGACACAGCAGCTATGGCATCCCCGACAGTGGCTCGTCTCGCAGGCAGGTCCCAGCTAGACTCAGTGTGTGAATGCATGTCTTGTTTGTAGTTTTACCACTGCTGCTGTGTGCATTTAATTTAAAATGTCTTCTCATTCCTGACCCCTTCCTAACGTTTCCAACTTAAATTAATTTTTTTTATCCAACCCAGTCTGGTCATTAACCTTCGATCAGTCTAACATAAGTACTATTACTATTGCCCTTTCTATTTCTGTCTTACTTTCTTGTTTCTCTTCTGCTCTTAATCTTTCCTCCCCTCTCTTTCTCTCTCCTCTTTATTAATAGTATCTGCTTTTTATCTCGCTGATTTTTTCTGTCCCACTTTGACAGCTTAGCTCTATATATAACTCAAAGACATAAATACTTGCACGCTTGGTGTGTGAGCACGTGGAATATTTATAATTATATGTGTTCTTTTTTGCCCCTGTGTATATTTTTTATAACGTCACGAGCTGAGCCCCCAAGTTACTGTGTTTTTTGTAGGGTATTGGTAGGCAGATCTGATATGGATGTAGAAAAAAACATTTACTTATATATCCAAATATAATTTTTACTACAAAGTGGAATTCTGCAAACTAATCTCCCAAATATCAAAAATCCCAGGCTATAATTGGCCTTTGATGCTAAGCAGACTTTTTTTGTTTGTGCCAACAACCACCTCAAGGTGATGGGATTTAAAAGATAGCATCCTTCTATATAGTCATTGTCATAAGAAAAGTTCGAGCTATATGTAGATAGATGACAATAATAATATTAATACCTTGGTGAATATAGTTCTAAAATATTTTACATAAAGACATTTTAAAGGCATGAAACTAATAACATTTTATTTTGCTATTTACTAAGTCAGGGATGTAAGTGGTCACTAACAGTAAAATCTCTTCTGTGATCACTTTGTGGGGTAACCCATATCACCCCATGTTGATATTTATAGATCCTGTTTCAAATTTCCCTTATTCAATAGAATGTTTGATAAAACACTAAAGATAACATAGTTCTTACACTGTGCATGATTCTAGTCTAGACACGAGCAATAGTTGTCTGACCGTCAGAACAAATTTGCAGAGAAAGGAAGGCTCACCTGTACCTAGAAATAGGACAATCTGTTCACTTTCAATTCATCTCTAATTCTTTCCTCATTTTATCTCTTAAATCCCATATTCTCTTCCTATACTTCCCAAAAAGTTCAGGTCAGATGAGAGTTTCCCACTAACTAGTTTATCATGCGTTAAGCTGTAATTACAGTTGCGATGGCCATCTCACAAGTGTATCATGTTTTTCACATTCCAAGACCATTACGCATGGTTAAGACACTATTGGGAGCATGTGATACTAGCAGCCAATCAGCAACTAGATGTGTTAAAGGGACACTGTAGGGACCCAGATCACTTCGGCTAACTGTGTGTCCCTTTTGCATCTAGTGCTGCAATGTTAAACATTGTTCTACCAGGCCCAGAGGCTGTTCTACCAGGCAGCCACTGGGGGCGCTTCTGGAATTGTAATGGACTTTTGGTCCGTTATCTGATTATGGATGTCCTCATGCAGAGCAGCGTCAGATTTTTACCATTTGCTGCGCATGCGCACTAGACCTCGCTCGTCGATGGATAGAGGAGGGGGCGGTAGTTTTTAATCCTTTATTTACCAGACAGGAGGGGGCTAGAGGGAGGGGGAGGCAGAGGGATCGGTAGTGCCAGGAACACAGCTTTGTGTTCCTGGCACTACAGTATCCCTTTAAGTTTAACTGATTAAGTACAGCATTGTATCTGACAATAATAAAATGCAGTATATGATCTGGGATGATTCAGAATGGCCAGTCTTCCAAGAAAACCCACAGTTTAGCTAGAACCTGTTTTTAAAATGTAATTGTGCTATCAAGTGGTACATAGAATACGTTATGAAAAGAATTTACAATCTGTCAATTTTCTGTAAGTTGTTTTTTTGCATAAAACCATTATTGTATACTAGAAGCAGGGTTCAAAACTTCCACTAACTACTAGCCATTGGCGAGTGAAAATTTAGCTGTGGAGATTAGAAATACACCACTGGGTGGTATACTGTGGCTTGCAGTGGCAAGTAAATTTTAAGGCCTGGCTGGTAGCATAGAAATTCTGACTTTACGCGTAGAAGAATCACTAAACATGTGTCCTCACTAGCTACGAAGTCCTATTTATGCAGAATTATTAAAAGAAAACTTATTTATTTATATAATAAATCAATCAATCTATCAGTCTAATACACCAACTCTCTTTCTCTTCCTTCTTTTAAGTCATACTTTGTCTGTCTCTCTCAAGTGGTCTCTGTGACCAAATTATCTACCCTTTCGTCGGAACACTCTTTGTTCACGAGTTGGACACCGAATATTTCCAGCACCAATTTCCGTCCATTAAGAATAATTATGGTGAGTCAAGTGCAGGTGCTGTCAAAATATATGTAAAAGGAACACGTAAGAAACTCATTACTGATTGAGAATGTAATGTAATGAGGTCCAACTCTGTTTCTTGTAGACCACACAAAATGTTTGTTTATTTTGAGTGGTTTGAGAGGAGGATATCCTTGGCTCAAACTGGCATTGTTCTCATATATATATAATAGTTAGATGGTTGATAGCTTTGCTGTAGAGAAGATCAGCAGATAGCTGGTATTTATTAATAAGAGGACTGTTAATTGAACCTTACATTACTCCAAGCATAATTCTGACTGCTGGGAATACTGAACTTGATGGTTGCACGTTGAGGTCTGCTGGACGAGAATGGTTAAATCAGCTTAATGAATGACCAGCCATTTCTGATATTTCCGAGTTTGTTTAACACAGATTATGGTCAACAATATCAAAACCCATGGTCAATATTCCATACATTAGCTCCAGTAGGTCACATAGCTCTGCTGATGGATCAAAACAAACTTAGACTGAACCATGCTCAAAAAGTTGGGCAGTTGATAGCGCTGACACAATTTTGTGTGGACACATTTTGTTTTAGTGATTTTGTCAGTTCCTATATGTTCATCCATTAATCTTCTCACAGTGCCATCTATTTTTTATAATGTCTTTTCCATTCATTATCTCATTTTCTAGATGTGGCTCAGATGGATCCTATGACGTTTCGTGCTAACTTGGAAGGGTTCCCAGATCTTCCTCGATGGATGCGTTACACCCAGCGATCCCCTACTCACAAAGCTTATCTTTATGGCTCCCCAACTGAGACAGGGAAACAAGTAATAGAGGTATGTAGGTTGGGAAATACTTTCACATCATGAGGTCTGCTACAAGAGGTCACATGGTTTATATAGTTCCACACTGTATGCCAATGATGCTCCATCTGTCTCTCTCTTTCCCAGGTGACAGCCTATAATCGCCAGACATTCGAAACTGTAAAACAAAGGTTTATTTTTAACATTCTCCCTTCACCTGGTGAGTACCAAACTCCAGATTTCATATGACCCCTCCCCCCCATCTCCCTTACCTTTTTCAGAATAATAAATTTTCTATCAGATAGTCTCCAGCCTTTGTACTCTGCAATTCAAACCAACTAATTATATTTCTTTTTACAATATAGTTTTCTTTATTCACCAAGCAGCCATTCTTTCATCTTTCATTTCTCCGTTGCCTCCAATCCCGTTACTTCATCATACATGTTTTCATAAAATGTTAATTTTACACTTTCTCACTCCACTAGCCTTTTATGCTTGTCCTCTGGTGGTGGTTAGTGACGAGTATATCCATTTTTAAAAAAGTATTGTTATAAGATGTGTCAACTGGGAATTTTATACACTACTATCCTGTGACAGACCAACTGGTCACCTAGGACGTGTACAAACGATACCAAGGACTTGCGGAGCTCAACTTGCAAACGGAAATGCCATCGTTAAAAGTGACCTGGATTTTCCACCATGTGCTGTGCCAGATCAGAGGATGTTTGCGGCCTGGTCAAAAACTGTACACCCATACTATTTGGGCTAGGAATCCAAGTGCTTTTTACACAGAATGGGTCGCTCCGGCGAGAGCTATCCGGGGTGGCGCTATTTTGGGGATGCGGGCTTGGGGACTTATGTTTTTGGGTGAAATTGTTATATGGTGCCGAGGTGTCTGGCCGTTAATAACGTTAATTCACCAGGTACAGACACCAAGGTGCTAGATATTGCAAAATACCATTGTTGAGCACACCGTGTTGGGGACCCAGGTATATATGTGTGACAATCATATTAACCCTTACATTAAGGGTTTATGTTTAGATAATACGCTATAATCTCTGCTGAGCTATCAACTAAAAGTGGGGAAAAAAAGCCCTTGGCAGCGACAACCAGAGTACCTTTGGTTAGGCCGCCACATATCCCTAGTCTGCATTGTATTTTTTCAAAATGGCTTTCAGTTTCCTTAATTAATTAAGAAATTAATATTTTTTTTATTAAAGCACGAATAAAGAAATTAAGCCATTTTGGTGTCTGGATATTGTGCAACGACCTATCAGCTATTGCCATATATTTTAATCAGTTAAACATATCTATTTCTCCTCTTCCAGCGTTGCAGACTCCATTCCAGGCAGAATTTTTGATTGCCAACTTGGATGTGGAAGAGATGCTACCTCCAGAAGCTCAGCTTGATTTCCAGGCTCCACTGCAGGCCGTGTGGGGTGCCCAACGAACGACCATTCTTAACATAACATCCGCACTAGACAAAGGTGGGCGAGTACCACTACCACTGCCAGGACATAAAGAGGGGTATGTACCAAGAGCATTTTTCTAATATCTATAATATTTTATTGACAACATATTGAAATTTCCTATAGCATAACCAGGATACATGCAAACTATGGAGCACTTAACCAGTAATTGTTACATTAACACTGCTACAGCATTCACACACATCCTCTAACACTATTCCCCACAAACTGTGGTGGTCTAACACTGCTCTTCTTAACTTCTGGTGGTCTAGGCTGGTCACATCATTATCCAAATGCTCCAACACTGCTCCACCAAACATGAGAGGCCCTAACACTGCACCCAGTGGCGTACTAGGGGCTTGGAGCTGAAAAGTGGGGACCTAATTTTGAAACCTTAATTTGTGATTCCGTAGTCTGAGTCTGTAATTAGAGTTTGGAACCATATTATTATTATTATTATTATTATGATATTTATAGAGCTGTCAAATTCCGCATCGCTTTACAATGGGTGGACGAACAGACATGTAGTTGTAACCAGACAAGTTGGACACACAGGAACAGAGGGGTTGAGGGCCCTGCTCAATGAGCTTACATGCTAGAGGGACTTGGGTAAAATGACACAAAAAGGTAAGGATTGTATTAGACGTATTAGACGCTTTTATGAAGAAGTGGGTTTTTAACGATTTTTTGAAGGAGTGGAGACTGGGTGAGCATCTAACGGAGGAGGGAAGCGAGTTCCACAGGAACGGTGCAGCCCTCGAGAAATCTTGAAGTCGAGCATCAGAGGTGGGAGTACGGACAGAAGATAGACGTAAGTCTTCAGCAGATCGTAAGGGCCTAGACGGGACATACTTGTGTATAAGGGAGGATAGATAGGTGGGAGCAGCATTATGTAGAGATTTGAAGGCAAGAACCACAATTTTAAATTGAGCTCTATATTTTATAGGAAGCCAATGTAGGGACTGACAGAAGGGTGAGGCATGGGAGGTGCGGGTGGACAGGACGATGAGCCTCGCCGCCGCATTCATTATGGACTGTAACGGCGCAAGTTGGGAGCATGTAAAACCACTGAGAAGCGGATTACAGTAGTCAAGGCGAGAAAGGACAGTGGAATGGACCAACACCTTAGTCGCATCTGGCATTAAGTAGGGGCGGATGTGCGCAATGTTTTTGAGATGGAAATGACAGGATTTGGCGATAGATTGAACATGAGGCTTGAAGGAGAGGTCGGAGTCAAAGAGAACACCTAGGCAGTGAGCCTGCGTGGTGGAGCTGATGGTAGCACCGTTGACTTGAAGGGAGACAGACACAGGAGTAACAACACTTGAGGGAGGAAAGACCAGAATTTCAGTTTTGGTCAAGTTTAGTTTAAGGAAGTGGGCATCCATCCAGTTAGAAACAGCAGAGAGGCAGTCAGAGACACTAGTCAAGAGGGACGGGGAGAGATCAGGAGAGGACAGGTAGATTTGCGTGTCATCTGCATAGAAATTATATTGGAAGCCAAAGGAGCTAATGAGTTTACCAAGGGAGGCAGTATAGATGGAGAACAGTAGGGACCAAGGACTGAACCTTGGGGGACACCAACAGAGAGGAGTTGGGGAGAAGAAGCAGAGCCAGAGAAAGAAACACTGAAAGAGCGCTGGGAGAGGTAGGAGGAGCACCAGGAGAGAGCAATATCTTGTACACTGATATTGCGGAGGATGAGAAGAAGTGGTTGATGATCGACAGTGTCAAAAGCCGCAGACAGGTCAAGGAGAATTAGGATAGAGTAGTGACCACAAGATTTTGCAGCGAGTAGATCATTGGATACTTTGGTCAGTGCCGTTTCCACAAAGTGCTTAGCACGGAAACCAGACTGAAGCGGGTCTAGCAGAGAGTTGGACTCGAGGAAGTCTGTCAATCTCGCATACACAATTTTTTCAAAGATCTTGGATGCAAAAGGCATAAAACCATCCCGGAATACATACATAAACTAGAAATTTCAAACATATAAAATCAAAAGCAGACTGAGGGACAGAGAAATTTGCTGGGAGAGCAATGGGTGCAATAGGTCACTGTCTATGGGTCTCATGGGACACATCCCATCAGTTATGGAACACAGAGGGACTCTTTGCAATGGGCATGGAGCAGAGATTGGCCATGCTCAAGGTGCAGATTTGTAAAGACAGTGTTAAAACTAAGTTTGGCCACTTATTTGTTATGAGTGGTGTTTCCAGTGTTGCTCATTCAGATCAGGGAGGATATCTAGGTGGGGAGGATATATGTACGAGGAATATGGAACAGAGCAGCAGTAGGTCACAACAACTAAAAAGTCAGGCAATGTAAGCACTTGCATATTGCAGTATGTAAGGCTGATGCTTCTGCTCCAATAGCCACCATTCTGATCTGAGCCTGACTGCTCCCACCAACATCTGGTATTCTGTCAGACATAGTGACCATTTTAAGCAAGAACTAGGAATCCCATCGAGATTTGATGGTCTAACACTACCCCTCTCCAACATCCTGTGCTCTAACACTACTCCCCTCAACATCTGGTGGTATAACACTACTCTCCTCAACATCTGGTGGTATAACACTACTCTCCTCAACATCTGGTGGTCTAACACTGCTCCCTAACATCTGGTGCTCTAACACTGCACCCCAGCATCTGGTGCTTTAACACTGCTCACCTGAACATCTCGTGATCTAACACTGCTCCTCTAACATCTGGTGCTCAACCTCTGCTCCCCCAGCATCTGGTGCTCTAACACAGCTCCCTTAACATCCTGTGCTCTCAGGGCCAGCGCTACCATAAGACGGCACAAGCCTTAGGGCACACGGACCCGAGGGGAGCAAAAATGTCTGAGTGACCGGCGGGAGCACAGAGAACTCTGCTCCCGCTGGTCAATTTCTGCAGCAATCTATCCAGCTGGCTGGGAAGCGTGCAGCCACTGAGGGAAGGGGGCGGAACAGTGAGGAGCGACTGTGGCAAATCTTTTCCTGAGCTACAGGCCGCTGGGATACATGACGCTGGGATACGTGACAACATATCCTGGTGGCCAACTGCTGTGGAGAGAGGAGGAAAGCTACAATAGTGCAGTGGGAACACGGTTTAGCAACTATAAGAAACAGTAAGTGTGTGTGTAAGAGTTAGTGTGTGTGTCTGTGTGTGTAAGAGTTAATGTGTGTGTGTTGGAGCCAGTGTGTGTGTGTAAGAGTTAGTGTGTGTGTGTGTTAGAGCCAGTGTGTGTATGTAAGAGCTAGTGTGTGTGTTAGAGCCAGTGTGTGTATGTAAGAGTTAGTGTGTGTGGAAGAGTTCGTGTGTGTGTCTATAAGCTGTGTGTGTAAGAGACTGTGTGAGTGTAAAGCAGTGTGTGTGTGAGAGACCGTGTGTGTGTTACAGCCAGTGAGTGTGTATAAGCAATGTGTGTAAGAGACTGTTTGTGTGTGTCTGTTACAGCCAATGAGTGTGTATAAGCAGTGCGAGTAGGAGAATGTGTGCGTTAGAGCCAGTGTGTGTGTAATAGTCAGTGTGTGTGTGTAACGGTCAGTGTGTGTGTGTGTGTGTGTATGAGCGAGTGTGTGACGCAAGGGGGTAAAGAAAAGTAGGGTGAAGACACAAAACACATAAAAAAGAATGCCAAACAGGGGATACATTATACAAAAATGAAAAACAAGAGAAAAAGGTGGTAAGATGCACAAAAGGGGCAAAAGAAACCCTGCTCCCTCAACATCTGGTGGTCAAACACTGCTCCCCTCAACATCCTGTGCTCTAACACTGGTCCCTCAACATCTGGTGGTCTAACACTGACCCCCCCAACATCCTGGGCTCTAACACTGCTCACTCAACATCATGGAATTTTCCACTACTTTCTCAACATCTCCTGCTCTAACACTGTTCCCACTAACATCCTGTGCTCTAACACTGTTCCCCCCAACATCCGGTGCCCTAACACTGCTCCCTCAACATCTGGTGGTCTCACACTGCTACCTCAGCATCTGGTGCTCTAACACTGTTCCCCCTAACATCCTGTGCTTTAACACTGTCCCCCCAACATCCTGTGCCTTTACACTGCTCCCTCAACATCTGGTGGTCTCACACTGCTCCCTCAGCATCTGGTGCTCTAACACTGCTTTCTCAACATCTCCTGCTCTAACACTGCTCCCCCAACATCGCCTGCTCTAACACTGCTCCCCTCAACATGCTGTGCTAACACTGCTGCCCCAACATCTGGTGGTCTAACACTGCTCCCCCAACATCTGGTGGTCTAACACTGCTCCAATGTCATTGAACAATTTTCCTTTCTTCCACACTAGGGTTTTTATTAAGTTGGGCTCTGATGTACCCTTCTCAGATTGCCTCATAGAGTCCCAGGCAATTGAAGCTCGACAGTTGTGTCAGAAGAGGGGCCAGCCAATTCTGTCATGTAATAACCAGTTTGCAAATCGATTCCAAATAGATTGGTGCAATACCAGTCTGGTGAGTATTTCTGCAAGCAGTACTGTATACAACCACTAGATGTCAGCAGAATATGACAAACAATTTAAAAAATATATATTTTATAATTCCATTATCTGTAGAGTTAAGTCACAGAACAGGGAGTTGCATATTAGACCAAAATATCAAAAACAAAAATGTTCTCCAACTCAGTTCTTCCTTGAGCTTTGATATTGTGGCCTAATATTTTAAATTCAATGGTCACTACCAAACTATTTGTGATTCAGTGTATTACACTAACAGTGAATTTAAAACATGTGATAAAATTATAAAAAATAGAAACTAGTATAGATTGGCCTGAGGGTTGTATTTTATTTCTAGTTAATATTTGTATTGCTACATATGCCTGTATTGTATATGCAAGTATTAATTTAAAAAAAAAAAACCTGACAAAGATAAATGGGTTATTGGACATGTTTGTGAAGTATTATCACCCTGCATATTTAGATTATTCAAATACAATTAGTTATCCGTTTTTGGATCTCCAATATTGTTTTTAATATCTTTAAAAAAATAATAATGACAGGCATTGATTGTGTTCGTATAATAAGTGCTTAATAATTAAAAACAAAACACGAACAAGAATTAGAAAAAAATAAATATATATATATAAATAATAATTAATAACGTAATAACATCCTCTTTCTAATATGACAGATCTGCCTTGAAGTTAGCAATATAGTAGGTATTTAATAAAAATACCATTGCTGTGGTCTTGATTCTTGCCATTTGCAATCGTTTTTAGCATCTACGTTTTTCTGACTGCTCTATCTCATTCGGGGTTAGCTTAAATTATTTAACAATATGGCTCTGTGCACGCACAAATAATATTTGAATGCTATTTTAAAAACACCTATCTCACATTCAAAATATGAATATGAACTAATGGGCTGGCAATGCATTATGGGATATGTAGTTTATTAATGTTTACAGTTAGATATCACTAGTTAGCCATGCTGTTACTGCACTGCCAATAGATAATGGCTATCCTTCCAAGGTTATTACATTTGAAGCCTTATGATCCGCAGTCAGAGCATTATGGAAGATGTAGTTCAACACCAATTGGAATGCTACTGTTTTTATTAGCTATGGATAGGGCTACCATATCCACCATGTTTCCAGGACACATATCATTTATACTAATTAAGGGGCAACATATGGAAAGTGCTGCCTGCAGTATGTAGAAGTGAAATGCTGCAGTAAGTAAATCAGATGATAAACAGAAACATAGGATGTGACGGTAGATTAATACCGTTCGGCCCATCTAGTCTGCCCAATTTTCTAAATACTTTCATTAGTCCCTGGCCTTATCTTATAGTTAGGATAGCCTTATGCCTATCCCACGCATGCTTAAACTCCTTTACTGTGTTAGCCTCTACCACTTCAGCTGGAAGGCTATTCCATGCATCCACTACCCTCTCAGTAAAGTAATACTTCCTGATATTATTTTTAAACCTTTGTCCCTCTAATTTAAGACTATGTCCTCTTGTTGTGGTAGTTTTTCTTCTTTTAAATATAGTCTCCTCCTTTACTGTGTTGATTCCCTTTATATATTTAAATGTTTCTATCATATCCCCCCTGTCTCATCTTTCCTCCAAGCTATACATGTTAAGATCCTTTAACCTTTCCTGGTAAGTTTTATCCTGCAATCCATGAACCAGTTTAGTAGCCCTTCTCTGAACATTCCAAAGTATCATTATCCTGGTATCAATCAGAAATCCTGCAGCATATACTTTACCCATAATACAGGGCAGTATATTCAGGTACTGCCAATCAACCCGATGAAATTATCTGTGTCATCACGTTATTCAGCATCTGGTTAATGGTTGGACTATTTTAGAGCAAAACCGACGTTTCTTGCATAGAATTGAAATATTTGCCAACCAATCATTCCCCTGCAATTTCACTGCTCAATTTACTGTCATTTAGGAGTTAAATCACTTTGTTTCTGTTTATGCAGCCCTAGCCACACCTCCCCTGGCTATGATTGACAGAGCCTGCATGAAAAAAAAAAAAAAAAAAAACTGGTTTCACTTTCAAACATATGTAATTTACCTTAAATAATTGTATCTCAATCTCTAAATTGAACTTTAATCACATACAGAAGGCTCTTGCAGGGTCTAGCAAGCTATTAACCTAGCAGGGGATAAGAACATCTTAATTAAACAGAACTTATAAATAAAAAATATAAATAAACTTATAAATAAAAAAACCTAAATAGGGCTCTCTTTACAGGAAGTGTTTATGGAAGGCTGTGCAAGTCACATGCAGGGAGGTGTGACTAGGGTTCATAAACACAGGGATTTAACTCCTAAATGGCAGAGGATTGAGCAGTTAGGCTGCAGGGGCATGTTCTATACACCAAAACTGCTTCATTAAGCTAAAGTTGTTCAGGTGACTATAATGTCCCTTTAATACCGTAGTAACAAAGATAAAATAAATCAGGTATCAAAATTTCAGTCCATACCTGGAAGTTGCAGGGAGAGGTAGAAATGCCATCCGCAAAGATAAAAAATTAAATACAAACCAGGGTAGAAAAATATAAAAGAATATGTTAGGAAATACAAAAATACAAATAAATAAGAATTGATAGAATATTCTTACATGGTTGAGACACGATAAAAGGAATATCATTTCATGGCATCGCTATTTTATGTTCCCATGCGGTCCATGTGTGGATTATTTTTCACCCACTATTATATTTTCTTGTTTTGTTTTGTATTTATTTCATATAATTCTGATTTATTTTTTTCACTGTGCCTGTTGTTAATTTTTTTTATCTAGCATTTATTGCAACAGTGGTTTACAAAGTATTTATGTATTCGTACACTTTGTACATATTTGTTACTTATATCGGATACTTGTGTGTTTATTTATTTGCTACTGTCTATGGTTTTTTATACAATTATTGTATCTTCTACTATAGTAATATTTCACATAGTATTTTGTGCTGCCACTCCCCCTCCCACCCTTTATCTAATTCTGGATATTTCCAAGAGGTAAAAATGTAATGTTTTTGTTGAATTGTGTCTAAAAGTTGATCCATAAAGTTTACTGAAAATGTTTTGTAGCGGAGCTGCAATATTAAATCCCAATATCTCCGCTGGTAAAAGACAGTAATCCCCCCAAAAGCGCTGAAATGAAGGCGATATCCCAAATTCCCCAGTAACCGGACGAAACACAGTGCTGGGAGTCAACTGAGGTTTTTATTCACAAGCTCCGGTATTTATGTGGTTCCCCATGCAAGGGGTTTCCTTAGCCCTTTTACAGGGGTTATACAGTAGGGGACTACATGGGGAACTGAACATGCAAGACATTTTTCCCACCATGCACTGCTGTACGAGAGGGGTACTCCCACAGAATATCCTGTTAAGTGGATTATCCCTCCGTACAGCAGAACCGGGCTTTTCACTCAAAAATATATAACTGGCACATTATTTGTGCTATTGTATCGAATGACCTATAGGTAGATAGCTGGGATCTGAGCGCATACTTCGGTAGATTACCACTCAGATCCCAGCACAATCAGTCGAATGCCACACAAAATACACTGTAATATGAATTCTCAATATAACACACAAATGCACATTTTGAAGGAAAGTACTGAAAGACCGGTGTTCCCGAATGGTCTGGAAGTCCAGCGGTGTTCGTGCCGTCGAGTAGCCGATTTTAGTTCCAGTTCTAAGCAGAATATTTCATGTAAACATTGAGTGCTTCCCTAAAAAACCTCTACTGATGTCACGAGTTAGACACCTATCAGATTCAGTATATGATGGGTGCCAATCTGTAGGGTAAACTACTGCGATATTACATATTATTATTATTATATATTATTCGCAGGTTCGAAACCAGAGTAATCTGAATGTACCTTTCCTGGTTAAATACTTAGTTATTATTATTATATTACATTTTATAGTACACGGGAAAAGATAATGTTTCTGCAGAATCCTGTAAAGTAATCACACAAGTCTAGGGTTCAAGGTGCATATTCCTTGCTACCTTGGGATCTATGGCCTGTACTAAATTAATTGAAATAAAATAGTTCACCTTTTCCCCTTTGTTCTTTGACTTCCTATCATTGTATAGGACTGTAAAAAACACATTGGGTTTCTTAGGACATTGTTAGTTGCAGTGTGGGGACACCTAGTGGCTGAAGATATGTTTACCATTGATTTTTAGGATTCAAGTTTATTTTGCTTAATAGAAATGGAATAGACACGTTTCTTTATCAAATAGTGGTTTGTTTTGCAGCTCTGTGCTTTATTACCTGATTTATGTCTTCTACAGATATACTTTTCAGCACCTCTCCCTACACAGCCTCCTCACCTTTATTCCGGGATTATGGATGACGAAAGCGAGTTTAATCCTCCCTCAGAGACCCTGGAAGAAACGTATTACCTGACTGATTACCTGCTTACCCTGCTGCTTCCTACCCTTATTGCTCTGCTCCTCTGTGCATTTCTTAGCTACATCATGTGCTGCCGCAGGGAGGGGATGTAAGTATCACTAGGTGGCGCTACAACAGATATAAACAGTTTAAAGATACACTATGGAGACCAAAACAACTTTATGTTAATGAAGCCGTTTTGGTGTATAGGTCATGCCCATGCAGTCTCACTGCTCAATTCTCTGGCATTTAGGAGTTAAATTACTTTGTTTATTCAGCCCTAGTCACACCTCCCTGCATGTGACTTACACAGCATTCCTAAACACTTCCTGTAAAGAGTCATCTAATGTTTAAAATTTATTGCACAGTCTATTTCATTTAGAATTTCTTATTTCCTGCTCTGTTAATAGCCTCCTAGACGCTGTAGAAGCCTCATGTATATGATTCAAGTTCAATTTAAAACTCTAAAGAAATTCTTATTGAAAATGAAACCATTTTTTTCATGCACATTGTTTTGGTGCCTGTCGTATCCCTTTAGGACCACTGCTACCAGGTGACTTCATTAAGATAAAGTGTTCTGGTTGCCTAAAGTGTTCCTTTAATGATGCGTCAGCTTCAGCTCTTGGGATCAGGGAAAAGGCATGGGGCCGATTCCCAGAGCCAATAATCTAAGAAATAGACCACAAAATACAGCGGGATTATGGAAAGAGAGCAATTCTGTGGCAAAGTCACTGAAAGCATTCCATTGGTTTCCATGGTAACTGCAATACTTGTTGACCTTTTATCTTGAATTGCTTTCCCTGTATGCTGGCCCTTTTTTTTATTTTATTGTAAAATGCTCTATTTGGCCTGTAAAACAATATATACCTTACCTGGAAGGATGAATGTGAGTAGTTTGGGGTAATGTAATTAGAAAGATGAATGTGACTAGTTTGGGGTATGTGATTGGAAGGATGAATGTGACTAGTTTGGGGTATGTGATTGGAAGGATGAATGTGACTAGTTTGGGGTATGTAATTGGAAGGACGAATGGGACTAGTTTGGGGTATGTAATTGGAAGGATGAATGTGACTAGTTTGGGGTATGTGATTGGAAGGATGAATGTGAGTAGTTTGGGGTGTGTGATTGGAAGGATGAATGTGAGTAGTTTGGGGTATGTGATTGGAAGGATGAATGTGAGTAGTTTGGGGTATGTAATTGGAAGGATGAATGTGACTAGTTTGGGGTATGTGATTGGAAGGATGAATGTGACTAGTTTGGGGTGTGTGATTGGAAGGATGAATGTGAGTAGTTTGGGGTATGTGATTGGAAGGATGAATGTGACTAGTTTGGGGTGTGTGATTGGAAGGATGAATGTGAGTAGTTTGGGGTATGTAATTGGAAGGATGAATGTGACTAGTTTGGGGTATGTGATTGGAAGGATTAATGTGAGTAGTTTGGGGTAAGTGATTGGAAGGATGAATGTGAGTAGTTTGGGGTGTGTGATTGGAAGGATGAATGTGAGTAGTTTGGGGTATGAAATTGGAAGGATGAATGTTACTAGTTTGGGGTGTGTGATTGGAAGGATGAATGTGACTAGTTTGGGGTATGTGATTGGAAGGATGAATGTTACTAGTTTGGGGTATGTGATTGGAAGGATGAATGTGAGTAGTTTGGGGTATGTAATTGGAAGGATGAATGTGACTAGTTTGGGGTATGTAATTGGAAGGATGATTGGGACTAGTTTGGGGTATGTGATTGGAAGGATGAATGTTACTAGTTTGGGGTATGTGATTGGAAGGATGAATGTGAGTAGCTTGGGGTATGTAATTGGAAGGACGAATGGGACTAGTTTGGGGTATGTGATTGGAAGGATGAATGTGACTAGTTTGGGGTATGTGATTGGAAGGATGAATGTGAGTAGTTTGGGATATGTAATTGGAAGGATGAATGTGAGTAGTTTGGTGTATGTGATTGGAAGGATGAATGTGACTAGTTTGGGGTATGTGATTGGAAGGATGAATGTGACTCGTTTGGGGTATGTGATTGGAAGGATGAATGTGAGTAGTTTGGGTTATGTAATTGGAAGGACGAATGGGACTAGTTTGGGGTACGTGATTGGAAGGATGAATGTGACTAGTTTGGGGTATGTGATTACATGGATGAATTTGAGTATTTTGGTGTATGTGATTGGACGGATGAATGTGAGTAGTTTGGGGTATGTGATTGGAAGGATGAATGTGACTAGTTTGGGGTATGTAATTGGAAGGATGAATGTGACTAGTTTGGGGTATGTAATTGGAAGGATGAATGTTACTAGTTTGGGGTATGTAATTGGAAGGATGCATGTGACTAGTTTGGGGTATGTAATTGGAAGGATGAATGTGACTAGTTTGGGGTATGTGATTGGAAGGATGCATGTGACTAGTTTGGGGTATGTAATTGGAAGGATGAATGTGACTAGTTTGGGGTATGTAATTGGAAGGATGAATGTGAGTAGTTTGGGGTATGTGATTGGAAGGATGAATGGGACTAGTTTGGGGTATGTGATTGGAAGGATGAATGTGACTAATTTGAGGTATGTAATTGGAAGGATGAATGGGACTAGTTTGAGATATGTCTATATGGTAATTATGACTAAGTACGAGGCTGGATGGAAAGTTCAAGGTGGGTGGGGTAGATAGGGGAATATGAATATGTGTGTGGAAGGTTAGTGAGTGTATGTGAATCACAGGCGTGTTTTTATATTGTGCTGCTGCTGGCCCTTTAAGCACCTTTTTGGGGCATCGGGAAGATTGGGACACTGCCCCTTTAAGACGGTGTCCCCTGACTTGTTTAAGACGGTGTCCCCAGACTTGTTTGGGACACTGCCCCTTTAAGACAGTGTCCCCTGTGTCCCCAGACCTGGTTAAAACCCTTTGTTCCTAGCTATTTCCCACTTGGTTCAGTAAATGGGGCTTACTGAACCAAGTACCACACAGGCGGACCACCTGTATCGGGAGTGTTAACCGCAGCTTAATTGACAATGCTGGGTGGCGTTTGTTTGGTTGCCGAACACATGACGGCGGCCATCTTTGTTCAATCGCATGAGGTCAGCGGTATGTGTAGCCAAATTCATGGAACTAAAATCGGCTACACATTTTCGCGAACAACGCTGAGCCCTACCTTCTCCCACAATGATTTTGCAGCCGCATTCGGCGATGGGACTTAGTCGTTTTTTCAGCCCAAAATAGACCGATGTCAAATCAATGGAACTGTTTTGGGCAGGAAAATGTGCTTGCGGTCGGTCAAAAAGGGACCTCCAGCTAACTTTTTAACCCCTGCATGGATTTGGCTGATTTGGTTATGTATATATTTGAAGGTTGCTGATTCTAAATAGGTAATTTTTATGAAGATTGGATGTGTGGTTTTAAAGTTACAGTATATGTGTAAAAAGTGTATTTTTCCTGCCTATGATAAGTTACATTAACCCATTGTGTTCAGTAATTATATCACAGGCAGAGGGAAGGGATTGTATGTTGGGGCTGGGTGTGTTTTATGGTTTTCCTGTAAATGATTGGTTGTACTGTGTCCCACCCTGTGGGATGTCCCCTTGCATGGGGACTTGCATAAAAGCCAGTGTGTGGTCATTAAAAGCAGATCATCTTGTACCTTCATGAAGTTTTGGCTCATGTTTGGGGGATTGGAGAACTACACTCTGGGGATTGCTATAATCACTATACTCCCCAGGCCAGGGACGTATTAGTCGCGAGGCAAACAAGGCATTTGCCTGGGCGGCATTTTCCAGGGGGCGGCAAAAAACACCGCCCCCAAATACCCAGGGCAAATGTCTTGTTAGCCTTGCCAGCACCCAGCAGCCAGCCCATCAGCCCAACCGGCAGCCACTGGACCCCAGGGAGAAAAACAACCCCCCCCCAGCATTTCCAAAGGTAAGGAGGCTGGAGGGGGGGTTAAAAAAAAAGTGTTAATGTGAGTGAGTGTGTGTGTGTGTCTGACTGTGTGTGTGTGTCTCTGACTGTGTGTGTGTGTCTGACTGTGTGTATGTGTCTGTGACTGTGTGTGTGTGTCTCTGACTGTGTATCTGTGTCTGACTGTGTGTGTGTGTGTGTGTTAGACTGTGTGTGTGTGTCTGACTGTGTGTGTGTGTGTGTATTTAGAAGGTGGGGCAGGGGGAAGGGATGGGTCGGGGTGGCGCAGGGGGAGGGGGGTGCCTGAATTTTGTCCTGCCCAGGGCAGCACAAAACCAGGCTACACCACTGCCTCAGGGTATGATCACTAAGCTCTGCTAAGAGCTTGTTCCTGTTCCTGCTCTCTGGAATTCTGAGAGAGGTCGACCTACTGGAAGCTGGACCCTGGTTTTGGGTCCAGAGTGGGTGGAGACGGCGAGACCCCAACCAAGCTGCGGCGGTTCGTGGGGTCTGCAGTGGTTATGGTGTCGGGCAGAGTGCTTGGAGTCCTCGGAAAGCACTAGGAGCATCCGTCAGTGGAAGGTACCCGGTCGGGGTGCCAGCGGTTCCGTTACAGGTGTTCCTGCACTTTTTTTTACAGCAGGAATGCTGTTCCCGCAGTTCCTGCAGGCACTCAGTGGGTGGCAAAAAACGCCGCCCCCAAATGCCCTCCTTGTTCCCCCTGTCATGGGGGGAACCTGATGGACCCCCTCGGTGGGCGCCTGTCTCCATATCAGATGTGTGTTCTCTCTGCTTCCTCCCACCGCGCGCCGTTTGCTGATGCTGGGATCCGGAATATGAAGTCATATTCCAGCTCCCGGCATCAGTAGACTGCCTGCGCGGCGAGTAGGAGTAGAGAGAACACAGCTCCCTCGCTGCGTCTGATATGGAGACAGGCGCCCACCCCACTGGACCCCAGGGACAGGTCTATTCCAGCTCTCCAGGTAGGGAGGCTGGGTGGACATTTTTTAATTAAAAAGAAATATCTGTGAGTGTGTCTGTGAGTGTGTCTGTGAGTGTGTCTCTGAGTATGTGTGTGTCGGTGAGTGTGTGTCGGTGAGTGTGTCTGAGTATGTGTGTCAGTGTGTGTGTGTGCACGTGTGTGTATATGTATATGTGTATATATATATATATATATGAGTGTATATTATTTTGGGGTGGAGGGGGGCGTCTTGGGTGAGTTCCCACACTTTATTTGCCAGGACTTGACCCTTGAATCCCTCACTTTTTCCCCTCTTTTTTTCCCCCTTCTTTTACATGTCCTCCTCTTCTTTCTTTCAATCCCACACTTGTTCCCCTCCCCTCACTTGGTCTCCTCTTTTTCATCCCTTAAAATACCTGTTACATTCTTCTGTCCCCATGATCACACAATTCTTCATCACTTTTCTCCTCCACAGACAGCCAGAAATACAGTAGGTCACGCTGTGTTATGATGCTGATGTCATTTCCACGTGTTGTATAGCAGTTCCTTTGGCTGCCTGAGGGGAGAGAGAACCTGGCGCTGTGAGAGCCGGGCAAGAAGGATAAAGAACCTTTCTCTTTCTCATCCGAGCACTCTTGCTGCACCACCAACAATACAGGGTCAACCCTACTCCCCCTCGGTGGACTTTTGGGAAGTCCGGCCCTACTTGCCTGGAATCTAGCGCCAGTTGAGGTTCTTCCACTCCTCATCTGACATCACTCCTGCCCTCTTCCTGGTTCAATCTCATAAAGAAAAATTTTATTGGACTGTTCTCACTGGCTCAGTGGGCATGTGCATGCTCCTAGCCGTGGGGGAGTTGTGGTGAACAAGACAGGGAGGGGATTTTCACCAAAAATAGAGTAGAGAGGTAGGCAGAGAGAACTAGGAGGGAGAAAGGGGAGAAAGGGGAGATATAAGCTTTCTGTAGTCATTGTGCAGAGAGCTGACAACAGACATGTGTTTTGCACAGATTTAACATTAGTCTGGGACAATAACAATTAACATTGTTGCAACTAGCCCCTGGCACAAAACTCAAATATCTAGGAGCGCAGTTTGCTCCTAGTGAGAGAGGCGGCCAGCGAGAGAGCAAAGGGAGGTACGTCACCCTGGAGTGTGACCAATGGTGGCTAAAGATGAGCAAAGCCAAGTCTGAAGGACTGCGGTCAGAGTGAAATACGCTTTTTCTTTCATTTCCAGCAACCACAACTGAGAAAGAAAGCAGGAATAATGCCAAAGCAAGGAAAGCCACTGGGAAGGGGCAATAGCCAGGACAGAGGCAGGTCCAATGGGTCATTTACTACAAGGAAAGGTGTTTTGGATCCAATTCAATGAAGGAGTAGGAAGGAATTCTACATGGGCCGTGTACTGTCCACATACTGTGCAGCAAGTGACTGAGCTCTTCATATAATATATGATAAATGCTAATACCTGTTTTTTTTTTTTCTTCTTGTAGAGAGAAAAGAGATGGCGAAACATCTGCGTAAGTTCTGAGCTATGGAAATTGCACCTGTTGACATATAGCATTGCGTATAATGTTAGTGTGTCCATTTGTAGGTTGCTTAGCATGCAACCCTCTGTTGGTTTCCATCTAGTGTGCTTTTGGAAAAGTCAGTGCCCCATCCCCTCCATATCATCAGTTGGAAAACTGGCCATGCAAAGTATGACTGTCTAGCTGACCACACCACCCCAGGGGTACTTTTTTTTAACAATACCAGCTTAATGCCTTGCTGCTGCCTGTATTACATGTTGGACATGTAGGACAGAGGAGGACTTTAGAACGTTCTGTTATTGACATTGCGTTCCACCAGAAAGAAACGCCAATAAGGTAAAGTAACTTCTACATTTATTCTACATGTGCTTTGAAATGGGAAAGCAACCAGACAGACCATAGATAAAAGTTCCAAACGATTTTTATTATGCAATAAACAAAGTATGACAGAGCCACCTTTAAGAAACATTCCACAGATGACCTGAAGCTAAAGTTCAAGCTCTCTAACATTGTCCCTGTTTGTGTCCTCCCTCTAACTTACTAATGCATTTATTTTGCTCGTACCCAGGATTAAATTTTTCTAAAATATACATGTCATTTATTATATACCTTGCATGTTACCAACCTGTTTAATTATATTAAGTTATGGATATAACCTTTTGTTTTATATACTGTTTTGTATTCATTTTGTCACTTGGTATAATACTGTGTTGCCTTGAGTACTACATTAAATACTTGGTCTGTCTGATATTTTGAAGGTCATTATGCCTGTATGTGTGTATATTATTCAGAGATTGTCAAATCCAAAAAGCCTAGATTCTAGAATTGTGTCTCTTTAGAAATATTGAGATAGGATATACCGTATTATATCCTGACTCCTGCCAAACTATCGCCCCTGACCCGTGCTCATAAAATGCTAGGGCAGGTTATCTCTCTCACCAACTTCTCTCCATGCATTCTGAGCAATATATTAACTAAGAGTAATTGTAGGATGAGATATGTACTCAGGAGTACCAGTGGGCTTGAAGAACACGTAGGCTCTCTGCTCCTCTGCCAAAAACAGCTACTCTCCTCGGGCAGAAAAGAAGGCAAAAAGTAGGGTTGCTGTGAATATTAGAGTGCCAAATGTCACCTATAGGCAAATATAAAAAAGGGAACACCCCAAACATCATAACAACTTCAGCATATAGGAGCAGGCATCTTCTCGCGCCATGTGGAACAGGTATTTGTGAATTTCATTGTGCATGTGTGAGATGGTCTAGCTGGATCTTTCATGAAAACTATTTTGTATTTTTACTCATGGTTGTGAGTGCAAAGGTAATGGGATCCCTAGAACCTTACTCAGAAGTTAAAGACCCAAAGATGGTGGTGTGTGGATACACATATTCCTCCTCACCTTGTGGACACCACCATGCCAGCAGATATGTCGCACAGGGTCTTTGAAAATAAAATAATGACTATAACTCCCCCTACCACAAGTTACAGTATCGCTACAAAAATATTATTTACGAATCTTTGTTGTTTTTTTAAACAATTTTTCATTTGCAGTTAAATAGTATTTTTAAAAACTAACCTCAAGACTGTGAAAAATTTGTTCTGTTTCATTTTTTTCTCACCGTTTCTCCTTCATAATCTGAATAAACACAGATAGGTTTTGTGTTGTTTGTATAATGCTTCACTCAGTGTGTGTCGATCCTTTTTGTTAACCTTGGGAAACACTCCTGCATTTTTGTTATTGTTTCTGCTGCCCATCCTTTGTCAAAATCAGAAAATACTGTTCATATATTTGGGTGAAATATTATCTTTCATTCTTTTAGTATTCAACTAGTTCACCAGCAGTCCATCTTTTCCAACACGGAGGAGCTACGACACATGGCAGGAAACCGGGATGTCCCGCGTCCTCTCTCCACTCTTCCCATGTTCAATGTCCGAACAGGAGAAAGAGCATCTCCCCGTCAACTGCATGACGATAGCGCACGTGTACCTCTTATCTTGTCACAACATTAAATGTCCCTTACTTTCCACATTCCTGTGCGATTGGGACAAAAAGGTATTTACTGTGTTGTCTACCAGGCTTTAGGATGTTCTTCATGTATGTTGCATAACTAAATTTGTTTAGGTGCACCAAGGCAGTGGAGCATTGACATGTCATGGTTTTTTTTACTGCTATTGTCAACACGTTATTGGGAAAATGTACATGTCTATGGGGACTGTTTGGAACTGGCTGAATTGGCCCAAGAGCGATAGAAAGGTTAGTTACAACCCAGTAATTGTGGGTTTTCACTAGATTTTACTAGGGCATTGTCTGGCTGAAATAAACATCTTAGCTCAATAGTGTCCCATGGCACACGAGAGTCCACCCATTCTCATAGAAAGTGCATTGTAAGACTCAGCTAGTGGATATACCTAAAGCATGTCTCATAAATATATATTGCTAAAAGGAAAGGGAGTAGGTGATGAACATGGAAAGTTGGTATGATGGAAGAAATAATGTCATAGGGGAGTAAGAAAGATGCTAACTGGGGAAGAACGAGTGGAGTGAGGCATTGAATGGGAAGAGGTAAGCCCTAAGGATAATGTTAAAGAAAAAAGTTAGCAAGCTGGTTGCAAATGGCTGATTTGATGGCATTAAAAGGGTACCTGTCATGGTACTTATTACTTTATTTCATTACCTCTCCTTACTTTATCTATACATTGTGCTGGTGAATTCACTAGCCACGGGATAGATTTTGCGAAAAACAGCTTTGAAAACATGCCCCCACCCAGGGCCGCCATTAGGGCATGACAACCGTGACAATTGTCACGGGCCCAGCCGACCGGGCCCCACGTGCATCAGCGGAACAGCCGCCGGTGCATCTGCACCAGGGCCCACACGCTGATGGGGCCCGTCAGGTGGCCCAAGCAATTAAGGCCACCCAATGGGCCCTATTATCGTCAGGTGCCCGGTCAGCGCTGTAATAGCGCGACCGGGCCCCTTAAAAAAAAAAAAAAATGCAGCCGGAAGCAAGTGCTGCTGGGAGGAAGTGATGTCCGGTCATTTCCTCCCACTTTACTCCGCGCGGGAAGGAGGACGCAGCCTAAGGAGAGGCAGCCGACGCCCATCATCCCCAGCCACCCTCCTGCGACGAAAAGGTAAGGAAGAGAGGAGGGTGGCTGGAAATGAGGTGTGTGTATGTATGTATGCCAGTGTATGTATGCCAGTGTATGTGTGTATGTATGCCAGTGTATGTGTATGTATGCCAGTGTATGTGTGTATGTATGCCAGTGTATGTGTATGTATGCCAGTGTATGTATGTATGTGTGTATGCCAGTGTATGTATGCCAGTGTATGTGTGCATGTATGTCAGTGTATGCGTGTATGCCAGTGCGTGTATGTCAGTGTGTGTCTGTATGTATGCATGCCTGTGTGTGTGTATGTATGTATGCCTGTCAGTATGTATGTATGTATATATCAGTATGCAGTATGTGTATGTATATGTATGTTTGTCAGTATGTATGTCTGCATGTATATGTGTGTGTGTGTGTGTGTGTGTGTGTCAGTATCTCTCTATGCATGTGTGTATGTCTGTTTCAGTATTTGTATCTGTTAGTGTGTGTGTATTCCTGTGGGCGGGATTTGGAGACTGGCTTGAAGGGGGGCCAAGACCTTGAGCTGTGTAAGGGGCCCCAAAATTTCTGATGGCGGCCCTGCCCCCACCCATTAGTCATAGACTCTTGCCGGCAGACTGTTCTCTTGCTTGGTGGGCTGTGCCAGGCTTTGGGAAGCTTTCCAATGTTTTCCAAAGAAGGGCAATGCCAGAGAGGAGGTTGACCCGGACAATCAAGACGTATAGAAGGTGGGTTAGAAAACATTTCTTTGGACCCGAGACAGGACAATCAATATAATTGGCCAAACTAAAAAAATGATGTCACATTCACTTTTAAAATGGTTTTGAAGAATAAAGGCATTTTGACTGAGGTGACAGCACTATATTGAAGGGCAGGGGATGGGTTGCATTCGAGGGAATGAGGAATAAAGGTTATCATAATTAGATCATTCCAGAGGACAAATGAGCTAGTTTTCTGTAGTTTGTGTCTTTTATTCTATCTGCGTTCTCCTACTGGCTTCTAATGAATGTTTTGTATCATTCCCTACTTCCTCTCATTTGTAGTTCACATTTATTCTTTTTTTTTTTTGTTATCTAATTTGCATTTTATTGAGCGCAGTTGAGCTATGTCCTTGACTTCCTCCACAATCTGTGTCTAAATTGTATTCTATGTATCATTGCACGTTATCTACTATCTAAATGAGCCATCTTAATGAGCCATCTTAAGACTCTTTCATGTGTCCCTTCTAGGCAATGAGATCTGTTCCCGATGTTAAGGGCTGGCAAGATGCTCAGTACGGCAATGGCTCTAAATCCCAAGGACTGAAGGAGAGGATTACTTTATTACACTGTTTGAATCTTATATTACTAATAAAAAGTTATTGAATCAACGGAACAGTGTCAGGATTCAAACTATACCTTTTTTTTTTTATCACGCATAGCATATAACGCCCATGAGAAACACAACTTCCACCTTCCTCTTTTACAGTTCCCTTCTGTATTGTCTCTGTATGACCCTGTCTCTCATATTACAGTTCTATTCACTAAACATCGAGTTGTGATGTGTTAACAGATGACATTTAATGGTTAATGGGCCAAAAACTCAAGTTGAAGTAAATCTCCACCACTGACGATTTTGTTTATCTCAACTTGTCTTTTTCGGTCCAACTGTTTTTAAGTAATTTGTAAACTCACAAGAAAAAAAATCCCCGAATTCTCCCTGCATTCCTATGTGTGTGTGTGTGTTTTCAATTCACACAGTCAGTCTCCAAATACAAGTGTTCACATTTTAGGTCGAAATAGACAAACTGTAAAAAATATATAAAATATAAAAAAATATAAGTCTGCTATGATTTCATTTTGGCAATTTGATCCTAAAATTTGAAATTTACTTTAAAAATCACATTAAATTTACTGTGATTTTCCAATAATTTACAAATTAATAAAGTTTGTTACATTATGTGTATCTGTAAAATAGCATTATGTACTAATTCTAATTGCTCAAGCATTCTCGCTTTGCTTCCTTCTCTCAAATGTTCTATGTATCTATTTTATTTTTTTTAAACCATCTGTTTTCCAAACATTTCCACCCCTTGTTTTGCTGTTTATTTAAGAGCCCACTCTCTCTCTCACACACACAATAGATACTTTATTCAGTGGATAACAAAAACTCATATTTAACCAGTTTTTTTTCGCAATTCAACACGTGCGAGATCTTAAAGCAATCAATATCAATAAATTCATATTAAGATTTGCACCCTGAATGCTTCCCACAGACCAGTGAACGCAAGCCTTATTTATGAGTCACATGTACCATACAATTTAAAGGTGCACTCGAAGTACCATTACCACTACAGATCAGTAGTGGGGGTCATGCGTCAAAGAGTCTGTAGTCACTATCCTCATTTTTGGTCAAGCCATTCATGAGAGATTGACTGTGTTGGCTCAATTCCTATCACTGACGCCCAGGGTGGGCGAAAATTATAATAATAATGCAGAGTGTAAATTCTGCAATACCAATACTCAAGATGGCAAGGAAACTGTTTGGATTGTGCTCGTATGCTCTTGGCAGCATATCCTCATGAGTGACGACTGACTTGCGGTGGTTATGGTGCTTAGAGTGTGCATCTTTAAAGGGCAGATGTGACTTCCCTGAATTGAACCATTGAATGAAACGTTGAAAATCTCCTGCTATAAATCACCCGTGTTATAAAAGCTGGTCCTTGATTTAAATTTTTGGGATAAACTTTTCAAATGATATAACATTTCCCTCTCTGCATCGCCGGGTGCGTGAGTTTGGAAGACCCTGACATCCAGATCGGGACACCGGATGCTGCTGAATCCATGAGAACGTTGTGCTGGATCATATCAGAGCATGGGGCTGGTGGGGCGATCACCTTTGGTTGACTGGACTCATTCTTCCTATTGGCCATGGCTTGCCCCTTCACAGGCACCGGCTGAGTAAGCCGCAGACCCTTTATGCAGCAATGCTTATTATATTTGATTTCTTACTTTGTGAATTGCTTTAGTTCTGAAGGCCTATTATTTTACCAATAGGATCATGTAGTATACCTGCTGTAGTGCACTCTTACTATTCGGTGGTTATTCTCTATTGAAATTATTGCAATCCAGCTCTCGGTAATTACTTTACATAAAGGGATACTATAGCCACCAAAACAGCTTTAGGTTATTGCAGCAGTATTGGTGTATAGGTCATGCATCTGCAGTCTCACTGCTCAATTCATTGACATTTAGGAGTTAAATAACTTTGTTTCTGTTTATGCAGCCCTAGCCACACCTCCCCTGGGTATGATTGACAGAGCCTGCATGAAAAGAAAACTGGTTTAATTTTCAATCAGATGTAACTTGCTTTAAACATTTTAATCTCCTGCTCTGTAAATTGAACTTAATCACACACAGGAGGCTCCTGCAGGGTCTAGCAAGCTACTAACAGAGAAGGAGATGAGAAATTCTAAATTAGGCAGAATTTGCAATAAAGTAAGTGTAATCATTAGATAACTCTTTACAGGAAGTGTTTATGGAGGTTGTGTAAGTCACATGCAGGGAGGTGTGCATAGGGCTGCATAAACAAAGGTATTTAACTCCTAAATGGCAGAGGATCAAACAGTGAGACTACAGGGGCATGATCTATACACCACAACTGCTTCATTAAGCTAAAGTTTTCTGGTGACTATAGTGTCCCTTTTATTTTGCCTATGGTATATTGAGCTGAAACCTGTACTTGCCTAGCACCTTAGCATATATATCTCTACTCCCTCTCATAATGCAAGTTGTTAATAGCATTTATGGTTCGTTTTCACTTTTGAGTTACCTTACTTGACAGTTTACATAATACAAGTGAGGCATTATTCATCTGTGTCAGTGGCTGATCCAGAGGGGGCAACGGGGGGAGCTCTTACCTGTAGCTCTTCCGGGTCCTCCTCTCTCGAGAACGGAGAGTTGCCGCGTTTACCACCTGCAGTTCGCTTCCCACAAGGAACACCAGGGATTGGATGCAGAGGCGGCTCTAGACTTTATGAGGCCTTAGGCGAAACTCAAACACGAGGCCCCACTAACAAAAAAGTGTCACAGATACACATTGATGCACAGTTTACCTGTGTATGTGCCTGAGAGTGTGTCTTACAGAGAGTATCCTTGTGTGTGAATTTATGTCTCTGTGAGCATGTTTGCATTTTTGTCTGAGACCCTATGTGTATTGGGTAGCTGCTTGAAGTGTGTCGTGTGTATCGGGGGGTGATGGTGAGAGGGACAGGCAGGTGATGGTGAGAGGCGGGTGTTGGTGAGAGGGAGAGGTGGGTGTGAGAGGTGGGGTAATGTGAGAGGGGGGACTGATGTTGAGAGAGGGGGGCTTATGCTGAGGGAGGGGGGCTGATGGTAAGGGGGGCTGATGGTGAGGGAGGGGGATTGATGGTGAGGGAGGTGAGGGTGAGGGTGGTGGGGGGGTGAGAGAGAACCTACCTTTATTCCCTGGTGGTCCTGTGGGCTCCCTGGTGGACCAGTGGGCATTACTTCTGGTCTGCAGCTAATTAGGCGGCTGCCTAAGGCCTCGCGCTGGCTGGGGTCTCGCAGCCGCCTAAACTGCCTGTGGGCAGACAGTGTTGGGTCCTCGGTCAGGTGCGAGGCCCCTCCTGGCTGCCCGGCCAGCCACCGCAGACATTGGTCTGCAGCTCCGCAGTGAGCAGAGCTGCAGACAATGTAATCTCGCAAGACCATCAGAGTGTTGCCGTGGTTACCCGCGGCAACGCTCTGATTGGCCAGTTCTCGCAAGACACATGGTCTGCAGCTCTGCTCACTGTGAGGACCCGACACAGTCTGCCCACAGGTGGTTTAGGCAGCTGCGAGGCCCCAGCCAGCGCGAGGCCTTAGGCGGCCACCTAAACCGCCTAATTAGAGAGCCGCCTCTGATTGGAAGTAATATCCCCCCTACCTGGGCAAAATTAAGAAGGGAGAGGGGATATAAAGTATATTTATTTTAATTTAAAAACAAACACATTTTTGTTTTAATCTGCCCACCCCCCCACACACAATAACATTCAAATTCACACACTGCCCTACCACATTATGCCCACCCCACACACTGTACCCTATCAGACACAGTTGACCACCCCCACACACTGTACCCCCCACACACAGTGTACCACCCACAAACACTGTAGCACCCACACACTGTACCACCCACAAACACTGTATCACCCACACACTGTACCACCAGCACACACTGTACCCACACACACACACTGTATCCCCCCACACACTGTACCCCCAACAAACACACTGTACCACACACATACTGTCTCCCTCACACACACATAGCACCCCTCACACACACATTGCACCCCTCACACACACTGTATCCCACACTCACACATTGCACCCCTCACACACACTGGATCCCTTACACACACATTGCACATCTCACTCACACTGTACCACCCACACACACTGTACCCCCACACACACTGCACCCTTCACACACATTGTATCCCTCTGGACAGAGGTGGCAAGTGGTGTCCCTCAGGGGTCTGTTCTGGGACCCCTTCTATTTAACATGTTTATAAATGATCTTGAAAAAAGCAATGAAAGTCATGTTTCAGTGTTTGCAGATGACACAAAACTTTGTAAAATAATACAATGTGAGCAAGATATTACTTTGCTGCAGAGGGATTTAGATAGATTTGGGGGACTGGGCAATCAAATGGCAGATGAAATTTAATGTTGAAAAATGCAAAGTTATGCATTTCGGCGTAAAGAAAACACAAGCAATGTATACCCTTAATGGAAGCGAATTAGGGATAACAACACACGAAAAGGACTTGGGAATTGTTATAGACAACAAACTATGCAACAATGTGCAATCAGCAGTGGCCAAGACCAGTAAAGTATTGTCATGCATGAAAAAGGGCATTCATTCTCGAGACGAGAATATAATTGTGCCTCTTGATAAATCACTGGTAAGACCACATATTGAATATGCTGTGCAAACCTGTTCTAAAGAAGGATATTATGGCACTAGAAAAAGTGCAGAGGCGGGCTACAAAATTAATAAAAGGAATGGAACATATCAGCTACGAGGAAAGGTTAACAAATTTAAACCTATTTAGTTTAGAAAAACGTCGCCTGAGACGGGATATGATAACATTATACAAATATATTCGGGGCCAACACCATTGTGTGGAAATTTATTCACAAACCGGACTTTACATAGGACACAAGGCCATGCGTTTAGACTGGAAGAAAGAAGATTTAGTCTAAGGCAAAGGAAAGTTTTTTTTACTGTAAGAACAATAAGGATGTGGAATTCTCTGCCTGAAGAAGTGGTTTTATCAGAGTCCGTACAGATGTTCAAACAGCAACTAGATGCATACTTGCAAAAACAGAATATTCAAGGATATAATATTTCAATGTAGGGTAATAACTGCTTGATCCAAGGATAAAGCTGACTGCCATTCTGGGGTCAAGAAGGAATTTTTTTCCTAGCTTGTTGCAAAATTGGAAGTGCTTCAAATTGTTTTTTTTTCCCTTCTTTTGGATCAACAGCAAAAAACAAATGTGAGGAAGGCTGAACTTGATGGACGCAAGTCTCTATTCAGCTATGTCACTATGTAACTGTAACAGCACCCCCAGGCATAAAAGGGGTTAAAAGCCGTTTAGGAGATATTCCCTTCCAGATACACAGGTAGCTACTCCATACACCAATCTCCCAAACTGGAAACACATGAATGCTTCAAACTCCCGAACCGGAACCATACGAATGCTGTAAACAGCCAAACAGGAAAAACCATATGAAATAGGTTTACACTCCTGGCAATCAAACTGTAGCAGCATACAATAAATCCCCCCAAGAACGAGACAAGCCTCTGTGTTGAGGGTCAAGCAGAGATTTAGATGTTGGTTCCGCCACAGTAACTATGTAACATTGCACCCCTCACACACACTGTATCCCTCACACACATTGCACCCCTCACACACACTGTATCCCTCACACACATTGCACCCCTCACACACACTGTATCTCTCACACACACATTGCACCCCTCACTCACACTGTACCACCCACACACACTGTACCACCCACATACTGTACCCCCCCACACACATTGCACCCCTCACACACACTGTATCCCTCACACACATTGCGCCCCTCACACACACTGTATCTCTCACACACACATTGCACCCCTCACTCACACTGTACCACCCACACACACTGTACCACCCACATACTGTACCCCCCCACACACATTGCACCCCTCACACACACTGTATCCCTCACACACATTGCGCCCCTCACACACACTGTATCTCTCACACACACATTGCACCCCTCACTCACACTGTACCACCCACACACACTGTACCACCCACATACTGTACCCCCCCACACACACTGAACCCCTCACACACCCTGTATCCCTCACACAGACATTGCACCCCTCACACACACTGCACCACTCACATACACACAGACACTACTGTCCCTATCCCAACAAACTCCAGGTAAATTGTCAAACTGTTCTAAAACGGTTTGACTACTTATTCTGGGAGGGCACTCCATGCACCATAACCACTACATAGAGCTTTAAATAATCTGCCCGTGCCCCTCCGAAGATTAGGTTCTGGATCCGCCACAGATCTGTGTGCAACATATTTTGCTAAAATAAAATAAAAAAAACCTTCTTTTTCGAATGTATTTTCCTTTATGCCTCAATACAAATTAAATCACATAAATAAATATCCAGTTCCAAACATGTCATACCCTAATTAGTTGTACCATTTTCTGTACAAATAATCTGTATTAGTATGGTGGCTGAAACAACAAAATTATTCATATTTTCATTACATCATAGAAACATAGAATGTGACAGCAGATAAGAACCATTCGGCCCATCTAGTGTGCACAATGTTCTAAATACTTTCATTAGTCCCTGGCCTTATCTTATAGTTAGGATAGCCTTATGCCTATCCCACGCATGTTTGAACTCCTTCACTGTGTTAACCTCTACCACTTCAGCTGGTTAACCTCTACCTACTTCATGTATTTAGTATTGGTCTTGTTGTCATATATTAAATCACTCCATGCGCTATCACTTTCAGTTCACTTTAATAATATTTTTAGGACCCATTCAAACACGTCATAGTCCCACATTTTTTATGTTATCTTCTAATTTGCAGGGCAGGATTTCACTTTTATGAAAGCCTCAATGCTTAAAATTGAAGATTACTATTGACGCTGATCTCCATGGCAACAGATTTCCCTTCTGCGCAATAGATCTACTTAGCATTTTTTGTGCTTCTCTCATTCGCAAAAAAAAAAAAGCATACAACAAGAATAGAACTGCTACCTAAACTGACATTGCTTGGGCAGGAATTTATGGAAAAAGTTCAGTTCTCCATTTGAGGCTAGTGGGAGAACCAGGATTGGGTGGAACCTTTCAGCCACTTCCTAATATAGGGAGAGCTCACTGTAGAAACCGCAAGTTTTGAAAACAAACACGTATGAAGTGCAACGATAAGTATAAATTTTTTATTTTCAAAATATATATTTCCATATAATTATCTTTACAATACGTAATAAATGGGGACAACAGCCTGGTGTGTCCCTTTCAGTAATTTTTTAATTATATCTATAAATTCAGGAAGTATAAAGATTGTGACATATTAATAATAACAGTCAGCTTGTACACAGTGTATAGTAGCAATTTAATCCTTTTACATACCTTTCTTTATTCTCATTTGAGATATGCAGTATACAGTGAGTATGCCTCCCCTGGAATTCTTGGGGGCTATCCAATTTCATTTTTGCTCCTGACTGCAGTCTGAACACCAGGAACGATTTACAGGACTCAGTATAAATATCCAAAACTCCAATTTATTGTAAAAATTAAATATATAAATTGCACGTAAAGTTCAGCTGTCCTACATGTTTCATCCAATGGGTGCACTTCCTCAGGGACAAAAAGTGCAATTAAAAACATCAACAATTCCTAAAAGGAAATAGCTGCATATCTACCCCCTTCCTAAGTCCATGTTTATGTAGGGCTAGTAGTAAGTGGACTAACAGACATGTAATTGCAACAAGTCGAGTTGGACGCACAGGAACCAAAGGTGTTGAGGGCCCTGATTAAACGATCTTACATTCTACGGGATACACCACTCTCTGCACAAACACACTGACACAGACAATACAGACAGACAAGACAATTCTATACACACGAACATACTGATAACAGTAGTTCTGCACATACATTATTGATAAGATTGCAATGGAAACACTTACTCTCTAACACAAAGGCACACACAGCTACATAGAGTCAAAGGGCTCATTCGCTAAACACATATTTGCAGTGAATTGCAAACTTAGGCCGAAATAGCTGATTTGGACAAAACCTTCAACTTACCTATAGTCATTGCGAAGGTAGAGAGGATATGCACACACTTACCTACAGTCATAACCTGACTATTTTAACCTAAATCTTGCAATTTGGTTTCCAAGTCAGAGTTTAAGGAATAAACTCTTACATATGATTCTACATACATACCAATCGACAGATAGTCCTACCTGCACACACACACACACACACACACACTTCATCATGCATATTGCATGTGCTTTGATGCATGTTTGCACACAAATGTACTCTGATGGATGCAGTTTTAATTACACATAATTCAGTGTACACAAATAATACAGTTACATGTGGTTACTTACAGGAACACTGATACACTGGTGAACGTATACAAGTAGTCATAAAGACAGAATATTAGACATCCACAAACAATGAGACACTCAGGAATATTGATACACATAATCCTGCACATACACATTAACACAAAACAAGACAATACTCACAGACAATCAGTGGCAGAAAATATACACATTCACACATTGATACATTTTAAAGAATGTCAGTGGTTCACACAGAAAGCTGTGCACAAATAATCACCGACCAGACCCATACAGAAACAAACACACACAATCCTGCACTGAAACCCGATCCTTACATAAACAATTCCACACAAACACACAGACACCCTTGGGACAATTCTTCACACCCAAATCCACTGATAATTGTATAAACAATTCTGCAAACTCAAACACACTAATATATATATATAACACACAAGATAGTTCTGCACACGCAGATGCACTAATATATATATATATATATATATATATAAAATACACATAGAAGAGATAATTCTGCACAAGCAGATACACTACTACATTCATACAAATACAATGATACTTGTACAGAAAATAACACACACACTTACGCACACACACGCACACACTGATAGATATACAATTTTAAAAACTGACACACATATAGACTTATTTATACACTTCCTAAGCTTATTATGCAATATATTGCACACACTCATTTACATGCCATATACAGCCTATTTTCCATTTGTAGTACACAAAGAGACAACTGTACGTGCATAAACACATTCATGCAATTTTGCATGTACATCTATACACGTTTTGACACCCACAGGCGTATAATGAATTATATGGGACATTCTACTCACAGACACACAGATACAAGTATACAAATAATTACACACATATCTGCAAACGCACTGACACAAATATAGAGAATACACAATGGCACATACAGACAGTTCTACATATTCACTGGTTCACATGTATAGATAGACAGCTAGCACTACACATCATTGCATTGATGCACATATACACCATTTCTGCAAACACAGACACACTCTTACATATCATGTGGACAATTTTGCACACACAGTCATATACATATAGGCAAACACAATGATATATGCTTGTACTATACATAAAATATGCATACATACACTCATACAACTATATATATACACAACATGTTGCACACACATATGTCACACAGATAACAATTCTACAAATATATACAGAGTAACAATTCTACACACAGGATTTTTTCACCAAACACAACATTTTAGTTGACTAAAAATCGAATTGCAAACTTTTTGATAAAAAAACTTATTGATTTAAAAATATTCTACAACCACCTCTAGTCACAGCTTGTCTATTTTAACATATTTATTTTTTCAATTTTTCACTACGAAACTATTTTACGTCAGTAAAGAGTGATCGTGGTGAACTGTAAACCAAATTAAAGAACTCAGACAAAAACAGAATAGCTGTGACTGTGGTTGGGGAATTTTTCTAAAATTTAACTACTTCGAGCTTTTCACTACAATGCTTTGTTTGGTGGATAAACCCTATATATGCTACAAACACTAACATTGACACTACAACAATACTTACCTTTAATTAACCAAATGTAAAATGCTCTGACGTTCGAGGGGGGGACTTTACAAAAAACAAATATTTTGTGCCCCTGCCATTTTCTTTTTATATAAATATATTCTGTCACATTTCCAGACTATAAACAGCATTCACAGACTATGACGCATGTTAACAAATTTATACGCTCTGAAGATATAAACACACAGAAAATAACAATACTCTTGTACTGAAACACTAAATTTTATATGTAAAAAGTGCCCAGCCAGCCAAAAATGGGGGAGATATTCACGGGCAGTGGGACCAACACTGCTAAAACAGAAGGGGGTGCCAAAGATTTTCCTATGCCCCTATCCTAAACTCGCCATAAGCTTAAATATATATTTATTTTGTTTATTCTGTTCCTTGAAAAGAGTAAGAGGGTTATTAAAGTGAGAATTTAAAGTGAATTTAAAATTAAGGCAAAAATAGCCAAACGGGAAAAAAAAAATCTGATTCAGCTGTGCTTCCAATTCAACTACTTTGGCCTTAAATATGAAAATTCACTTTAGAAGTTTTGATCAACAGAAATGGTGGTAAAATGTACATCAGAAAAGATCTGAATGATGCAAAGGGGAGGAAAATAATTTGCCCGTTGTTTGCATAACTCCTTATGATACAAAAAAAAATATTGGACTACAAATCTCATAAGGCTCAGCCAGGCGAAGAAAGTGCATTGAGGTACTTAGACAGCTACATCCTGGCTACAAAAAAAAGATGTAGGAAAATAAAATTTAAATTCCAAACAAAATGCTAAATAATCTGATCAACACCCTAAAGTAACTTACCTCAAAATTAAACAATTTCTTTTGCTGTGGAGGGTAGGTACTGCAATAATTTGTATATCCGTGCCTGCAGAAAGCCTTATGAAGGATAAATGAGGATGCAGCCATAATTTGGCACTGCAAAGCATTGTGGGAAGATGGATAAAAAAGGCCTCAGAAGGAGGCACTGACAACCAGAGACAGGGGCGTGTTTAATTAAATCGCAAAATGATCAATCCAAATGAAAAGATCACTACTACTGGGGGTTGACAACTACGCAGACTAAACGTAAACTCAATTTTCAAAATAAAGCATAGTTTAAAAAAATAAATAAAAAAATAAAAGTTCACCAAAAAGTATATAGAAGACTCCGGCATGTGGGATCCACAGGACAGGATGGTGATATAAGTCCTGCCAACTGTTAATTTGTGGCAACGGTTGGTATTTCAAATGTGCATGTATTTGCACTAGGTCCGGTAGGAAACTCCAAATAATAAGATCTGAGGCAAATCCTTTGTCACCGTTTTTCTCCATCCAATAGCACTGTGTAACTTTCTACATCCACTCCATCCTGTGGACCCTAAAGCAACCTTTCTCCACCTAAATGCTCTGTGGATATCTTCATCGATCCAATGGGCCCTCTTGGTACCATTTGACATTCAAATGGTCCTGTGGGTACCTTTCTCCATCCACTGGGCCCTTTGGGTACCTTCCTCCATCCAATGGACTCTGTAGGTACCTTTTGACATTCAAATGGTCATGTGGGTACCTTTCTCCATCCAGTGGGCCCTTTGGGTACCTTCCTCCATCCAATGGACTCTGTAGGTACCATTCGACATTCAAATGGTCCTGTGGGTACCTTTCTCCATCCAATGGGCCCTTTGGGTACCTTCCTCCATCCAATGGACTCTGTAGGTACCTTTTGATATTCAAATGGTCCTGTGGGTGCCTTTCTCCATCCAATGGGCCCTGTAGGTACCATTCATCATTTAAATGGCATTGTAGATACCCTTTTCCATCAACTGGGCCCTGTGGGTACCTTGCTGTAGCCAATGGGCCTTTCTTGATCTAGTGGACCCTTTCTCAATCCATTTGATTCTGTGAAGAACAAACTTTATCCACTCCATTCAGTGTAGTCTTAACTCTATATACTGAGCTTCTATTTCGATCTACTAGGCCCTGTGTCAGTCATTTTCCATATTGTAGGCACTGATACCTTTCTCAATGCATTTACTTTTTTTATTTTTCATATAGTTCCTTTCTTCTGTGTGGTACCTCTCATGATGAGGTGATTGGCTTCCTTTCTCCTGTAGTAACTTGGGTAACTTTTCTCCATCATGTGGACTTTTCGTGTGACTTTTATTTCATAGTTTCATGAAATCCATGATCCCTGTGTGTTTTGGAACTGGGTTCATCTATGCAATATGTAGGTCCTGCTGGTGCATCTTTCCATCCAATAGGCCTTGTGGGATCTCTTCTCCATTTGTTAGGTCCCTTTCATTCTCCACCACCACCTCCTATCTCAACATGATGTATTATGTTCTATAGGTGCAATGTGCAGGTTGCCTTTTACAGATTCCTTCTCCCAGTGCGTCCTTCGATTATGTGCATGGTTTTCTTGAAGCAGTGACTCTCGCTCTGTACAGAGTGTGTATTTTCTCTGGCTCCCTTGCTGGCACTGGCTTTTCTCAGATGTTCACAATCTAAGTCTATTTCACCTTCTGATGTCGTCAAAAGGGGTGGAGGGACAAGCACAATGCTCCCTTTATACCATGTGCTATGTACCAAAGAAAAACACAGAGAGAGGAAGGGGGGAGGGAGACACAAGAATGAGGGAATGTGTGTGTGAGGGAGAGAAATGTTTGCTATATATGTATACCTAAATATATATTCAAACACATTACAATGTCGAACTGTGTAGATATCACAGAGATATCTCTATCTATCTATCTATCTATCTATCTATCTATCGATCTATCTATCTATATATCTAATCAATTAACTTTTTTGTTTGCATAGTAGCTGAAACTTTCTTTGTTGTATTTAAACAATTAGTCCCTTGTAACCCTTCTATTAAATAAAATAATTTTAATCTGAAGATCATGATTTTAGCGAAAGCTGTTATCAGAATAATGTAGTCACATTGTGTACAATGTTTCAATATGGGTGTGAATGTGAGATGGACTTTGTTGGGGTAAAAATGAAGCAGAGCAATACAAGTACCCCAGAGTTTGAGCAGAGTTAGCCTGAGACCGGAAATATAGTGTTCAAAGGAATGTAATCCTAGCATGGGTCAAACTATAAAAAATATGGACTTGAGGTGGAAGTGTCATGTCTTTTGTTGTACCTTTAAACCTGCCACCTCTTTCGTATTTATAGAATTGTACATTCTTATAAAATAATCATATGAGAGTGTACCCCCCAATTTAAAATAAGTAGATATGTGGTTATTAAAAAGTATTAAAAATGCAAAAATATAAACAAAAAGTGCCAAAGTACTATAAAAGTTAATGAAAGATTAAGTAATATTACTTTTCAGCTTGTCACCTGTGGCTTGAGAGACAAGATTATAGTCACATTCTGCCCATGTACCAGTCTTTTTAAATATTAATTTACCATAGGTTTACCTAATTATGTTTACCTCCATTTTTTTTTCAACTTGAGCTTTGTAGTAATTATTATATACCATATAAGTAATTAAACCATTACATGTTAGGTTCCCAGACATTTTACTGTTACATGTTTAATAAAAGGGATTTTTAAAGCAAAGACAACTACTTCTCCTATTTTTATGAGACTCAGGGCAGGACAAACCCAGTCCACAAATACCACCGCGAAGCCATGTTTTATTGATAATGTATCTATATTAAAGAAGCCGAGCGAGGAACCTATGTCGTATTAGAAGTATTTATAAAATATGGTCGGTCAGTGTACCTCAACCAGTAGTGATGACCGGTCATTAGGTAAGGACTTCCTGTGTCGGGTGCATGGTTTTGAGACTAAAGTCAGGATAACGTCGGGTAGAGAAGGACCACTGATCACACTGACTGTTTTGGACCATATCACATGCTTTATTTCAGCAATCAAAATAATTAAAACATCTCAAATTATTATACAATAAAAAAAAAAAAAAATCAGGTACAGATCCTTGGTTTCAGTTCAAACCCCATGGCATCGCTGTCTAGTTTTGAGTTGAACAAAAGAAGTAGAACAGAAATAGGAGAAGGAATGAGACAAGAAAAAGGGCAGTGGAAGGTAAGGACAAGATGAGAAGAAGAGGAAAAAGCACAACGAGAAGATGGAAAGACTACCAATATAGACAGGTCCTTATCAGCCTGTGTTCACGGGAAATTGGACCAGGGAAAGTGAATGGAAATAGCACCAATAATTGCTCAAGCCTATGGAATACTGGGATACATTGATTAAGGAATCCCTTGTAATTATTATTTTAGCACCAATGTCTGTAGCATTTGTAAGGAAGCTAATGTGATGAAGCAGTGAGACTTTAGCACCAATGAATGGGGAAAGACAGTGAGGTAGTCTCAGGAAAAAAAATATTAATTCTCTACACTGCACCACTGGAATACTGAGCCCCTCCTCACTCTTTGACACTGGAAGAACATTCAAATCAAAGACTTGGATGTCTTCAAGTAAGGAAAAGATGAAGAAAGGTTTGAAAGAAAAACGTCAAGAATGGTTAAGGAGGACATGTAAGGAGACATTCACACCCAGAGGGCAAACTCAGCCCTATCATAATTCCAAAACACTCTCCACACACCTTCAATTTAATTTTTTCATATTTATTTTTTTGCCACCTGAACAAACAAAAAACAAAAAATGTTTTTAAAAAAAGTTGCATTACATGAAATGATTTAATTTACTCCTCTTCTACACAGGGAACGTTGGGATCGTCGATCCTGCTTTCTTATCTAATCCAGGAACAGTCATTATTTAAGGACATTCCCATTCTTTTTTGGTCAAAGGGGGCATCTTCATCAAGGTCGTAGGAAGGCCAATTCATGTATGCAGGGGGCACAGTTGAATGAGGAGTTGAAAAATTCCCTCCCGTGAACACAAGCACACACATACAGGCATGGTCTGTCCTTTGAGAGATGTTCTTCAAAGCATGACTTTAGGTTTGCTTTTTCGTGTAATGCTTACGGAAACAAGAAAAGTTTTAGAGATGAGAGGAACAACAATTTCAAGTCCGCATGAGATATTCTCCTGTCCTGGTATTTTTGTTTTGTTTTTACACAAAGCAGACTGGTCCGATGTCAATTCCGAATTCCTGGTCTGCGGCTCCAATATCCATGGGTGCCACGTCCGTGATTGGCAGGCGTGATGTCTTTGTTGTCTTGTATTCAATGACAGTTTTGCCCCATTCTCCTGTGTGTTGCTGTTGAAGAAATATACATCATTAGTGCCAGGTTTTGGTCTGTCTGCTATCCCCCAATAAATTATAAAATAATCAGCTCAGCCCATCTTTATGTAAAAAGAGATCTATTGTCTTTTCCAGACTAAAAGTCACAGTGCCATTACACCCCTCTTTCCATATGATACAATTTCCCAAAACTTTATTCTCTAATAAGGACACTATATCTTGGATAGGTTTACCTGTCTAGTTGGGTAACTTAGATAGAAGACCCAAACCAAAAACTACATACCGTGCAGCCATCCTCGATGACAGTGTATGTGAAGCGGCTGTTGCCCTCAGGTCTGAGCTCAATATCGTTGGAGCCTTGCAGGAGCATGGCCTTCTTCAGGTTACCATTTGCTGCATCCATGTAAGCAACACTGTTCTTGCAATGGTAGGTGATGTTCTGAGAGGCTTCAGTGGCCATGAGGCGGAGGAAGGTGAGTTGGATGTTAACATCAGCTGGGTCAGATCCCTCACTACCATATTCGAACTGAGGAAAAGAAAGACAAAATGTTACAAATTTTACACGTCACCAACTCATGTCACATATGGAACTATCTTATTGTAAGTGGTGATGATCAAATTAGATTTCCGATTTTTTTAGCAGCAAAGCTGCTAATATCCTTACCTGGAATCCATCGCTCATTGTCTCGCCAAACCAGACATGCTTCTTCTCGCGTGGGTTCTTGCTTGTGTACCAGTTCTTCTGAGGAATGCTGCTCTGTGTTGGGTAGACACAGGTCTCGCCAGTTTCCAAGTTACAATAGACCTTGATAGCATCAAGAGTGCAGCCCTGGTTGGGGTCAATCCAGTATTCACCTAAGAAATAAGAGTGTATGCTGTCAATGGAAGGGAATGCAATACAGTAAATAGTAGAATAAGCTAGATAGGAGACTGGAAATAGGGAAATCATCTATAACCACTGGAGTCAATAAATGAGATTTGGTGAATTCCAATCTTACCGCTCTTCCAGTCAGAGTGGCACATCTTCAGGTCACGGCAGGTACGGGCTGGGTTCTTTCTGGTACCCTCGGGGCTGCGGATGTTCTCAATCTGCTTGCTCAGGCTCTTGAGGGTGGTGTCAACTTCCAGATCGCGGTCACGCATTACATTGGCATCATCAGCACGGTAGTAGCGGCCATCACCAGATTTCTCCTGAGGAGGCTGGGGCATGAAGCTGAAGTCAAATCCACCACTTGGGGGGCCAGGAGGACCTGGTGGGCCGGGAGGTCCAGGGGGACCCTAAAATGTATGAATGATGCTGGTCAGATAAGCATTGGACATAAACATGGAAGACAAATTTCTGATAGGAAGAGACTACCAAAGATTCCACAGATTTACCATTAACCAATTTCTGAAACCATTAAGCATCACCAATACTAACTAGCAGAATATAGGAAAGAAATCAAGAGAAAATATGTCTCAAGAGTGATCACAATTAATAGGCAACAATAAACAATAATACTTGAGTTGACAGAATAATTAAATGAACAAGTGGAAATACTTACAGCGGGACCAACATCACCATTGCGACCACGTGGACCAGGGGGACCAATAGGACCAGGCAGACCGTTGGAACCATCTTTGCCAGCATTACCAGAAGATCCAGGGGGTCCCTATAAAGGGCAAATAACATGAGTTTTTAACAGTGGCAGAAGTTTGGGAGTAAGAGTTTAACTCAAAGAGTTTGACTCACTTGATTTGTACAATTCTGTGATCAATAATCAGTCAATTTGTGACACACGATAATACTTACTCTTGGACCAGCAGGGCCAGATGCACCAGATGGACCTTGCTCACCAGGGGAGCCCTAGAATAAACAATATGTATTGTTATTTTCAAGTAGAAAATCAGGAAATAAAAAGTAAAAGTGAAAATGGGTCTTCATGTGTTCCATGGTGAAACTCGTGAAGGTGAGGGCAGAAGAGGCAATAAAATTGTATAAATATGAAAAGAGTAAAGCCTTAAATATAGGGCAACAAAAACACAGAAACAGCATTAAAATGACAAGTTGAGGGGGGCTAGAAAACACAACTGAAAACATTAAGGATAAAAGAACAATTATTTTGTATGATACTCACAGGGGAGCCAGGTGGTCCGGGAAGACCATTGAAACCTCTGTGTCCCTTCATGCCTCTTTCTCCTTGTTCTCCAGCCTCACCTTTGTCACCACGTGGGCCTTGAGGTCCCTTTTAGAAAAGAATGGTTGGTTTAGATAAGGAGATTGAACCAACATTTTATATTCATAAAGGGCAAAAGTGGTACTTACAGCAGGTCCACGAACACCAGCAGGGCCAGCGGGGCCGGCAGGACCAGCGGGACCCTATAAGATAAAAAGAAAAAATACAGGTCATCATCAAAATGTATCATCACATGGATAAACCTATAGCTAAATCTGCACTGTGATAGATAATGTTTTTTTCAATTAGAAAAGGAAAGCAAACCACTAATCTTCCTAGTACCTCTTTACTAAGCAGTAAATATCTATGTCCACTGTGTGAATTCTTAATTCTCTCTTACAGTGAAAGTCCTACATGTTCCTTCTGTTTTCACCCAGTAGTAGAAGGTGATGGATGAAATGTAACAATAATATTAGCAGGCAACTTATACACCTGCAAGGCTTGGTATTATTAATAAAAGGATTTAGCTGTAATTTACAAATTATGGATAAGGTTATATTTTGAATCAAAGTTTCCTATCTAACAAATAAACGTGATTGCTTTTGTGGATTATTTTAAAATGCAGCTACAAGAGGTCACCGGTTAGAGACAATTTATCAAACTAATTTAAGTTAACCACTGGCAATTCAAATCTCCCCTATGAGGACCTCAAATAATTTCTTGAAATCAAGATTCTACAATGCCCTATTAATTAATATGATGCCCATAATTAAGAATTTCAGAGACATAAAAACTGGTAAACTTACAGTCTCACCACGATCTCCACTCTTTCCAGCAGGACCAGATGGGCCAGGAGCACCAGGGGCACCAGGAGCACCAGGAGGACCAGCAGGTCCACTCTCACCACGATCACCCTATCAGACAGAATTTAATTATAAGTATGGTGACTTACATGGTTTACAAGATGGATACATGTTCACAATAGGTTAGTAGATCATAATGGTGACACAAACCTTGGGTCCAGCAGAGCCATCACGACCAGGAGCACCTTCAGAGCCAGGGGAACCCTGAATGCAGAAGAAGAGGCAATCTTAGATATATTGCATTTACTGTCTTTAAAGAGTATGAAGGAATTAAAACACTTTTCATGTGGATACTGAGCTCCATAAAATACAGTGTTTATTGTGGGCATTCTTGGGCTTTAATCATATGGGATCAACATTTTGTTGTATATCTTATCACTATAAAATGTGTCCATATTTCTGTGAAATTAATTGTTCATAACTTCACATTGTATTTATTAAAATAATCGTTGATGCTTCCACCATCTTTTTTCACGTGACACTTTTTAATGTCCTCAACACATTGAGCCATATTTTTTATTCTACTGGTAATTCTAGGATCACTCACCTCACGACCAGCTTCACCGGGAGGTCCAGCTAAACCTGGAGGACCAGCGGGGCCAGGGGGACCGCGTTCACCACTTGGGCCACCGGGACCTTGTTTGCCGGGTTCACCCTAAAATGATGGAAGGTTGAAAACAGAGTCAGCAAAATTACAGAACAGAAGAACTGTGTAGTGTATTATCTCTCATCTCAGCAACCATCATCTATCAAATCACTAGTGCAAGAGAAATTACTGTGTTTCTGATACAATTCTGCTGACTGCCCTCTGAATAGCAAAACTGAATTACTAGTTAATAAAGATTATGTAGGAACACCTAGGAAAATTATACTATTTTACTCTTTCAGGGACCTATTGTGTATTTATTTTCCTGCTGTACAAGGGCTAAAATGTGTTCAATTCCTAAAAGGCCACTCGAGGCAAATTGAAACTTTTATCTTTTTTTCTCCTTCCATTCTCATGTTTAATGGAGTACAAGAAATGGTTTAATCCCTTATGTCCTCTCTTTAATTGTACCATTCTATTTGCTAAACTGGCATCACTTCAGGTGGTATAAGTTAAGCACCCATTTTAAGGTTCTACTTACAGTAGGTCCAGGAAGACCGGGGTATCCTCTTTCTCCTCTTTGTCCAGGAAGACCAACTGTACCACGGGTTCCAGCAATACCTTGAGGTCCAGGAAGACCAGGGGCACCCTGCAGCAGGTAAGAAAGACAGCCAGGGTTATAAACATAATAATGCTTTCACTTTTAGTTATATGTGGTCTTTATAGTTTAATTCTATGTTGAACACCATCTTTGGAGGTATAACATGTTCACTGGTGGCTGCAAGAGATTTATCAATATGTAATTTACAGTGATTATAGGTAACAAATAAAGGGTGATATTTTGGGATGTAAATAAATAAGTGGGAACTAGTCTTTGAGTTCTAGGTGCATCTGTTGGGGGTACTTACAGAAGGACCATCGCTACCAGGGGATCCTTTCTCGCCAGGGGGTCCAGGTGGGCCAGCAGCTCCGGGTTCACCAGGGCGTCCAGCAGGGCCAGTCTCACCACGTGGTCCTTTTTGTCCTTCCTTTCCAGATGGTCCAGGTGGTCCAGGGGGTCCAGCATTGCCCTAATGTGTAAGAATGGATTTAGTATGAAGCAAGTCATGGATAGGCACGCACCAAGAACTTATAAGCCATGTGGTTGTTAACAGGGCTGCTATGAAGTAATTTTACTAAAACAAGTAGTGTGGAAGCTAGAGCTTCAAAATCAATAACTTTAGCACAACAATATCACAAAGAGATATATTTGCAAAGTTAATCAAGAGGTACTTACAGATGGGCCAGGAGGTCCAACTCTTCCTGCAGCTCCAGGGAAGCCAGTAGCACCCTGGAAAAAAAGAAGGCACAGGTCAGAACAATTGTATTCAATAAAGTAGACCATTTATGAATAAATGACTACATAATAGGCAAGTGCACCTCCCAGTCTATAAATGTGAAATATCTAATGATTCTGCTACCTCTCAGATAAAAGTCCACTCACCCACCATAGTTGAAGGACTGCATCCTTTTTGCAGTAATTATTAATTATATAATAGCAAGTGCAATGATGACAGTTACTATATTCCAGAATAAGATTATTGAGGCCAGTTATAGAACGCTATAGTCTATACAAGCAATAGCTGGGGAGGAAGGGGTGGTATTGATTGGAGAGGTATTACAAACCGGAGAGGTTTGTAATAATACAGTCGGAACATTCTGGGTATATAGGTATTATTATGTATGAAACATTCTGTGATGTTCTAACATACTGTGTGTCCCCATGCTCCTAAATACTCCTACAAGAGTTGCAGTGACAATCTCTATCATGGCAATTTTGGATATTATGAGTGAGTTTGACTCTTCAGGTTTATACTTACAGGGGGACCAGCGGGACCACGAGCACCTTTGGGTCCAGGAGCGCCAAGAGCACCCTAGAAAGAGAAAGTGAGAACATTAGCCCAATTTTCATATACGTTGAAAAATTAATAAGGAGAACCAGTTGGTATAATACTCACAGCAGGGCCAGGGGCACCAGTGGGACCGGATGGACCTGGGGCACCAGCATCACCTTTAGGACCAGCATCTCCTTGTTCTCCCTTAGCTCCAGGTTGACCATCAGCACCCTGTATGGATAGAACATGGAAGTTAGGCACAAGCAAGCAATATGTGGCCGAGACAAATACACAAGAGCAATTTAATCATCCTATTATAGTGCATGTCAATGATTAGCAAGGCCTAAAGTGTGTCCTTCGAGTCTAATTAATTGTCCATGTATACTGATAACTTGATACAGATATCTTTATATTTCTAATTTGAATATTCCATATCTGAACACATACTTTATAACTAACAGCAGCATCAGGTTTTGCAATCCCATTACATTTTCAGGATAAGAAGAAGCAAGTGTAGCAGAAGGTCATTAAGGAAAATGTATATAATGTTTTAACTGAGCTTTATACATGTAGGATGGTGTGGGAAATACGACCTAAGTTGCTTAATGTGGTGTGGAGAGATCATAATTAAGTATACTTACAGGAGGACCAGCAAATCCAGCAGGGCCAGGTGGACCAGGCTCACCACGCTCACCCTATGAGAGATAAAGAGGAGACATGTTTGTTGTGATCCAGCTTAAGATAGGCCGAGACAATAGCTCTGACTGAATTTACATAAGATACTTACGGGAGCACCACGGGCACCAGTGGGACCAGCAGGACCAGCAGGGCCAGCTTCACCCTGTAAGGAAAATATATAATGTAAGTAATTTCAAAAATGTGATCTTCTTGAGGTCTTGATAGTGGTCTTGATATAAGGCCTTATTAGTGCCTCAATATTTTAAAATTTGGACCTACTGAGAACTTAATTCTAAGAAATATTTTTTAAGTTTTTGGAGCAAATACATATTTTATAATTATTTTGTTAGCTCCCCTAACATATAGAGCTATTAAAGCTGTACATTAACGCAAACAGGCATGGCTGTCACAGGTCAACAAAACCTACCTTGTCACCAGGAGCACCAGATGGACCAGGTGGACCAATGGGACCAGTTAAACCTCTTACACCATCTTTGCCAGGGGCACCATCGCTACCTTTAGGTCCTTGGTCACCCTAATTCAAAGGAGAATGAGAATTGTGAGTTAAAAGTTGAGTTCTTCAAAAAAGGTTTGTTTTCAACAGCAACTAAGAAGAAGAATCCACAGCACCTAACACAAAGGAGGAAGTGGAAGTGAATCTCGAAAGAAAGGAAGATAAATGTGGAGGATATAAAAATTCATGTAGTGAGTAAGAATTTTAATAAAGATCTTTAATAAAGATGTTTCTGTAATAAGAACTGGTACTTACTCTATCACCCTTAGCACCAGGAAGACCACCTGCACCACGTTCACCGGGCATTCCTTGAAGGCCGGGAGGTCCTTGGCCACCAGGGGCACCTGGAGCACCAGCTTCACCCTATTATTGAAGAAGTGGAGGAGAGAAACACAGCTATGTATCATACTATAGTAGTTCCTGGGTATCATGGCATATCAGAAACACCATAAGATTTATTTGGAGTAGGCCAAACAGCCATACATAATTTCTGTACACTTCAAGATAAGGCCATTGAGCCATAAATAATATTATATAAATTTAAAAGTAGGCCATAAGATTTAGAAATGTTCTATAATTCTCAAGAGAGTACAGTAGAAGTATGCATAATTTCTGCAAATTCAAGAGTAGGCCACAGAGCCTTAAATAATTTCTCTAATCTTTAAGAACAGGTAAAAATAGACCATACATAGTTTCTGTAAATTGGGCCATAAGTTATAGGACTGCATATAATTTAAGTAAATTTCAAGTGCAGGCCATTCAGCCATGGATAATTTCTGTAACTATCCAGAGTCATCATTCCACTGGATCTTTATGTTACATTACCCACTGTGAGGGTTCATGAATCCCTCATGAAATATTTTAGATTGAACATAAAAACCAGATACTTTCCATTTGCCCTCCTGTGAAAATATCTACGGGAACAGGTGGACTCACCTTAGCACCATCGTTACCAGGAGCACCATTAGAGCCACGAGCACCCTGTGGACCGGGAGGACCTTGGGCACCACGCTCACCAGGGAAACCTCTTTCACCCTATATAGAAGGTGTCAATAAAATACAATGTGTCAGATACAAGTTAGCAAGCAGAGCAATATGATAATAAGGTCTACTTCTTTTTAATGTATAATTACTTGGTAGTGTAACTAACATAGTTAAGCATGTTTGCTAAGTATAGATCAGTATATATATTTATATTAAGTTTTAGTAGTAAGAGAATATGGTACTTACTCTTGAACCAGATGGGCCAGGGGGACCGACATCTCCAGGAGCACCCTATAAAGAGATAGATAACTTTCAGTATCATTACAGACCAGAGTAACCAGTCCCATCTCAGTCAATGACATGGGACTGGCACCAACATGCCTATTTAAATTAATGTTAATATAAGTGAGTTGGGTATGCCTGGCCTGTTATTTGACCAGACATCTCAATGACTCTAAAATGCAATTTCAGATACATAACAACCACCCTTCATTGCTAAATCCTTAAACTCCTCTTCATTTACCCCAGTGAGTTGTTCTAATGCATACGATCATAAACAGGGCGTTATCTAGGCCTGATTCTTCATATAAGTATGTTCCAGGAGCAGACTGTAAGCTCACTCTCAGTTCTCTGCATTCCTACTATATCAATATGTAATAATTTGCTTTGTAACATATTGTTATTTACCCTGCACTTAAATGGTACAGTGCTATGGAATATATTGGAATATATTGGCTATAATTAATGGATAATAATTAATATTTCACTCAGTTCTGCCTTCCTTGTAGAATGTCTGATGAAGAGTATTAGAAGCTTGCACTCTTAATTTTATTTTTTATTCTGCAACTGATACAATAATTACCCTACACTGCTATTGATTTTGCTTACCTGTTCACCGGGCTTGCCACTCTCTCCAGCGGGACCTGGGGGTCCAGGAAGTCCCTATAAGAGAAAAGATAATGTTGTAGACTTTGTGGACAAAGTATCAAGAGTGGTTAAGTGTTGCTTGAGCATTAGTAACCCATTTACTTACTTGGAATCCAGGGGGACCACCAGCACCTTGTTCACCTCTCTCACCAGCGGGGCCCTGTAGAACAGCAATGGGAAGAGTTCATGATACCTGACTAGCAATTAAATATGAATGACAATCAACACCAAAGGAGATAGTAGTCAATACTTACAGAGGGGCCAGGGGGACCTTGAGCACCAGCTTCACCATCTTTGCCAGGGGCACCCTAATTAGGGACAAGAGAACATTGTTATCAATGTTAATTAAACTCAAGGATATATTAGTCCTCTAAAGATAGCTAACATATTCAAATTGTGGGAAGATGCACTATGATGAAGGGTTCTTTCTTATCAAATCTTGAAATAATAAGATTATTCAATGGTTTTTAATGAGCGAGCATGACTTCCAAATCATTGAAGTTGCTGCTAATCAAGATTCAATGTAAGTCACTATAGTGAAATATCAAGTAGTAAGTGATAATGTCTCAAGAGCACCATCGAATGGCTGATAAGAGAAAAAGCATCACAATAAAGGGGGTTGATTTCTGAGCAATGTTATTTTTTACACTCGACCTTTCAGCTAATAGATACATAATACCACATATATATAATTTGCTAATTGATATTTTGTTGTTTTTTTATTAAACTATAACTATACAAAATCAAACAGTTATCCCATCAGAAAACACGTTAACCTTCCAAATAACTTTCCAATTTCAATCATTCATGAATATTTTTCTTCCCTAACTCATATTTGCAAACATACATTGGATTAGACACCTTAAACTAGGCCCAGAATCTATTGCTTACTCTCCAGTCTCCTTTTCCTAAATCAGGGTTCTAGACTGCAACCAGGCCGAAGCCTTATTTTCTGACCCATTTTAAGGACAATTATCAAGATACTCACATTAGCGCCAGGGGGACCAGCAACTCCTCTCTCGCCAGGCTTACCAGGTTCACCCTGTGAAAGAGATAAAGAAAGGCTTCAGCAACTGAAATTAGGTAAACAAAATGGCTGCCACATTAATTAGTTATGCACCTAATAATGTCTTCCCATGACTAAACTCACAGAAAGAGATTATGTTGTGTCACCAGCATTCTGCTTACAAAAGAATAGCATTGTGTAAAATATATACTTACAGCAGCTCCCTTAGGGCCAGGGAATCCCATTACACCAGATTGGCCTCTAGCACCAGGTGGGCCAGGGGGTCCAGGACGTCCATCTTGACCAGGGGGACCCTGAGTTAAAAAAAATTCCAAGAGTTAGAAAACTGAAATGAGCCACATGGAGATTAAAGAAGCCAAAGGAAATCAACTTACAGCAGGGCCAGTCTTGCCATCAGGACCAGGGCTACCAGGGCTACCAGTCAGACCCTAGAAGGTAAAAGAAGAGAAGATCAGAAAAGTCAAACTTTGTTGGTTATTACATACATAATATTTAATGTAGACTATATATTGAATTATATATGCTGTAACAGCATCAACACAACCAGACCACAACCTTTACATTTTTTTCTATATCATAGGCTATGTGAATTTGGTGGATTATAGCATGTAGAAATACTACCACCACCAATACATCTTTCTATAGACTTCTCATCAGATATTGGTGTGGTTTTGCTAAGATATTTTTTATTAGAATTGTACACCATAAAATGGATAATCTCAACATGACTACATAGTAGTTGATTGAAAGCAATCTTCAGTTATTATTATTTTTTTTTTATATACCCTGCTTCCATGACCGAAATATATTATATCTTAATCCATATATATTTTAAAATATCGGGGAGCTTCCTTACTTTAGCACCGGGAAGTCCAGGTTCACCAGGGCGGCCAGATTCACCAGCAGATCCTTTGGGACCAGCAGGGCCAACGGGACCGCGCTCACCAGGGGGACCCTGGGTCAAAGAGAGAAGGAGAATTGTTTGAAATATTAAGACATTAAGAGCAAAAATGAATTGTTATGAGAGCCAGTCCACATCCCTAGAACATTGTCACAAATGCCATGTCGACAATTAGTGATATTAACCATCCTAATTGAGCTTGTGTGACAAATTTCAGGTGTATCACACAGCACTACATGACAAAGGGTAGCATAACACACAACCCTTTGTCACTGACATGTGGCATCAGATACAATGTCACCAGTGAATGTGATGAAATGACCGTCCATGGTTCATATTTATTGTTAAAATTGTCATCAAATTCTCACCTTGGGTCCAGAAGCACCATCAGATCCAGGGAAACCACGGCTTCCAGGAGCACCCTATTGAGGTAGATGAGAGGAGATATGGTTATCAAAAGTTAAGCTGTAGATAGATAAGTAGCAGGTGTTGTGTGATGATTGTGGAAATACAAATGTGCCTTCCATTAATTGTGATACTACTTAAACATTACTGCAACTAGGGAGCATTGTTATATACATAACCAATAAAATGGAGCATTGGGACTTTTTATCTGATATAATTATATTTTATAGTGAGCAAGTTCTCATCTAACTATTTTGTAGGATGCAGTGGGTTCAGGACAGAATTAAACTTTTAGAGGATTAAACTGAGAAGCCGAGTAATTAGGTTTTGCTCATGAGAAGATGTTTATCTGCTTTTGCAAATCCATGTGATAGGTTACTACTTGAGGCTAAGTATTTACAAATTAATTAGACACAAAGCTCAGAGATAGAGATGAACTAGGTTCTAGATATTGGGTTGTACATGTCTAGAGGTCCAATACGTATTACCTTGATGACTATAATTGACCTTTCTGCTTGTGACTGGCCATTTGGATTACTTGTAAAAGCTTCGATCGGCATTACATTTTATTTTTATTTGTTTACTTACACGTTCACCAGCAGGGCCAGGAGGACCACCAGGTCCAGGTTCACCACGGGATCCTCTCTTTCCTTCCTCACCAGAGGGGCCTGGGGGTCCTTGAACACCAGCTGGGCCCTAATGATAGAGAAGATGTAATGAAATGAGGCTGGCTCATTATTAGTCCAGCATAATTAAGCAGCTTGTACCTAGATGGCTACTTACAGGTTCTCCCTTAGCACCGGGTTCTCCTTTGTTTCCTTGAGCACCAGGTTCACCCTAGGAAGAGATAAAATGCCTAAATTAGATTAATCATTATCTCCTGAATATTCCTTATAGTGGACAACCTTAAGGCTAGATGGTGTTGGATTAAGGACATGGGGCTCTTCAAGTAAGAAAAGGCCTTAATTACATTGGTACTTTTAAAAAAAAATCTTTTGCTTAAATAGCCACAGAATGTATCTTGGAATGAAGAAACAGTTGCCATTTTTTCTCAACAAGAACTGTATAAGACACAATATTAGTGTTTTTATAAAACACTTTGAAGTAACCACAGGCATTTTATCTGCTGAAGGTGATACTCACATTGTTACCCTTAGGTCCAGGGGCACCTCCGGGGCCTTGAGGTCCAGGAGCACCACGGGCACCAGGGAAGCCAGGGGCACCAGCAATACCAGGAGCACCCTATATGAGGAAATAAAAAGGCATCAGTTAGACAAAGAGATACAGCATTTGTGAGAAGAAGAAAGGTGGAAAGAGAAAAGAATGTTCAGGGTAAGAAGTTATAAAGAAGTGGGACAGCTAATCGGAGAAAACAAATGAAGCAGTGACTTTGTAAAGAGACAAAAAGAGAAATTTCAAAATGTGGAGAACAGAATCCAAATATGTAGCTACTTACAGTGGGGCCCTTAGCACCAGGTTGACCATCAGTACCAGGGTTTCCCTGTAATATAGAAAAGAGGACAATTGTAAGTACACTTCTCTTTTCAGTGAAGATGAAAACTTTGGTGGCAAGAAGAGAATGCTTGGGCCACTTACAGAAGCACCAGCAGGGCCAGCTTGACCGGGAGAACCGGGTTCACCACGAGCACCTTGGGGTCCATCAGCACCACGGGATCCTTGGGGACCAGCATCACCCTGAGTAAGAAGAAATGGTGTGAGGTGAAGTCCAGGTATAATATGATCTAATGTTTGAGAGATTTATAAAGTAAAAACATTTAATCTATGATAGAATGTTGCTGTCCTGCAATAGTGGAGACTATATTCCTGTGCTTAACCATGCTTCATCATGAAGAAAAGCTACCACAGCAGGCTAGAGTTTTTGTATGATGGTAGATAAAGTACAACTTGTCAAGACTTTTTCACAATTTTTATATTCTCAATCTTGGGAAAGAAGCAAATGAGTCATTGTGTCTCACTCTCCATTTTTTTGACCCTGCATGTAGAGTTCTGAGCTTAGAATTCCAATTCTTACCTTGGGGCCAACACCGCCGGGGAATCCAGGTGGTCCACTTGGGCCAGTAGGACCCTATAGAAGGGGAGAGAATGAAACAGAAAGGACTATATAAATGTCTGTATCAGGTACCATTTAAAAAAAATATATTAATATGTAACTGCGCAATAAGTGGACTCCATTAGTTTTGAGCTTGAGTAAATAATAATGATCGGCTCAAGTGACTGACTTATGAAGACCACTTTAAAGCTCCTTAGATATGGAGGATACTTACAGGGGGACCAGCAGCACCAGGAGCACCATCGTTACCACGAGCACCCTATAGGAGAGAAGGGGAAAAGATTCCCAATCAGTATTCCAGTATATTTGGTGACATTTATTTTGGAAATATGCCCCCAGAACCTATGCAGCATTGGGAGTAGATTAAGAAATATACTTACAGCTGGGCCAGAGGGTCCGGGACGACCTCTCTCACCAGGAAGACCACGTGGACCCTAAGAATGTAAAAATGGTGTAAAAATGTAAAATCTTTCAAAATGTTGCATAGCAAAAGTAAGTAATCAAGGCCACACATACTCTTTATTTCTTAGAACTTAAATATATATTACATGATGACTTTCCATCAGCTAGGAAGTTTAAATGTACTACTACTACCTTCAGCATAAAGTACCAATTTGTTATATATAACAAAGTGTTTCTAAATTTTAGTGAATAAATAATTAGTACTATGTCCAACAATTGTCTTATCCTTGTGCATGCTCTTAAATCGTTCTGCAATAAGTGTCTTTTTTAAGTGTCCAGTGCTTAAGTGAATATATATTTAAGTCTATTTTCTTCATCCTGATAACTTATTCTTATCAATAGTTTTATATTGGCCAAAATTGACTTGTTGGACTAGGCCGCAGTATACAAACAAACATATATGTGTACAATATTGACTTATCTATATTGTGTATCATTCCTACACTTTTGCTCTATAGTTGTCACCATTCTTAATAAAGGCTGCTAGCTATCTTATCAAGGCCTCTGTCACTGGTGAATCCAATATTAACTGCAATTTCATCACTTACCACTTGTCCAGGAGCGCCATTCTCACCAGCACTACCAGGCTCGCCCTATAAGAAAAGATAATTTAAAAAGGTCATCAATAAACCAAGGATATAGGTTTGTGTACCATGCTTTTGTTTTCTATGCAGAATACCTACCTTGGGGCCAGCTGGTCCAGTATCACCCTTAGCTCCATCAAGACCGTTGAAACCCTGGATGCAAGGAAAAGAAAAGTTGGATAGAATTGTGATGAATTGTTGCTAGATTCATATTTTTTCATGAAGGGTAGGATATATTGTTGGGTCTAAGACTCACTCTGTGTCCTTTCATGCCTGGAAGACCAGCAGTTCCTGGAAGACCACGGGCACCCTGTAAATTAGATGTTGGAGTGAAAAGAATGCATATAACAACATAATTTATAAATTAAAATTGCTTGGAAATCTATATACATGACATTGACCAAATTGACCCATAAATGTCCTAGTTGGACAATAGATCCTAACTGCCTATGATTGTTTTCTTTACTTCAAGTGTACTTAAAGTATTCAAAATACTTCTACCTTCAGCCCCAGCACCCCAAATTTCTCTGCTCTTGCTTAGTTTGTAGCATTATTTCCCAACCATACAGGATACACCAAAGAGAGGTCAGCACCTCAAATTTTATCATAATACCTTTTGGTTTCAGAAGAACTATCTTACCTGAGGTCCTGGGGCTCCACGTTCACCGGGGCGGCCTTGTTTGCCAGCTTCACCCTTTGGAAAAGAGAAAATAGAAGCCATACATTATTATAGTTTGCAGGAGTACAGAAATAGATCACCTCCTTGTCTTTTGGTAAAGTGTATCTAAAATAATTCCCCTTTACATGTAAAATAACTAAACCCTAAATTCTCTTAACTGGTCACAAAGTTAAAAAAAGCATATTTCTAAATATCTACAATACACGTTTACCAGAAAACATAATTACCATTTATTAGTTTTTTTTTAATGAGAACTGGATGTTTGATGTATTACTATATAACTAAGTCTACACAAATGTCATAGATTGATTTGGAGGAATATTTAAATGAATATGGGCACAGTGTATTTGTCAGTTGAGTGGTATCATCATGCTTTTGGAGTAAATGGGGCTCAATTAATGGTTTGAGTATTATAATGAAGGTTAGATGCATAGGTAAAGAAATTGATGGTTGTTGCCAGATTGTGGTGGCAAAATCAGCTCTATCTGAGGCATTAGAAATTCTGACAAGTGACTAGTTTTGAAATTTACCTTCCTTCTTAATTGTTTTTTTATAATGATCTATTTAATGAGTTGGAATGTATTTTGCCAGCTACTTACATCATCACCATTCTTTCCAGGAGGTCCTGGTGGGCCACGGGGTCCCATAGCACCCTAAAACGCAAGAAGATGCAGATAGCAATTAGAAAACTGTGGATGAGATGTCATTCTAAAGAAAATACAATATGCAACTAACTAATTACACAATGTGAAAATTAGCAATATACTCTAATGAGATATGCTATCCCATGCTAGCTATCTAACATTATGCTGATTAATAAATATAAAGGCAATTAAAGTCCTTGAAAAGCCTAAAATCTTTCTGGGATTGCTAAAGTTAATACAGAACTGAGCATCTGTGTTCCATTATACTGTAACTCAACTTCAGTCATCATCAAATATATCACACTCAGGGATAGAAAGAATTAAATATCTTCAGCATGGACAAGGTCCTCATAGTCCATATGGAAAAAAACATTTATTATATTATTGAATATTAAAATGGCCAATTTGGTGACTTCTTAGACTCTTTCAGAGGATTGGCGCTTAGTAATTTTGTTGTAGTTGATAATACATTAGAAGTAGATATTAAATGTTGGTTGTTGCAATATGACTCCTACTAAGAGGATGATGTAAGTTTCGGACCAACAAAATGAAGGTAGAGAGCAACTTATTGGTCTGAACTAGGCCTTCAGCTTGACCAGGATAATAGGAATTTTACTCTAACAACAGTTACTTATGCCATAGGCTGGCAAAGGATGAAATATGGATATATGCCATCTTGTGGTACTTACAGCAGCACCAGGTTCACCGGGTTCACCAGGGGGGCCTTGGAAGCCTTGGGGTCCCTGAGAAAGTAAAGTAAATAGTTAGCCACTAACCAATCAGTATGCCATTTCCAAGTGTAGGGTAGACTAAAACCAGCAAAATGTTATTTCAAGATATAAGATGAAGGTACTTACAGGAGATCCAGCTGGGCCAGGGGGACCACGGGGACCCATTGGACCCTAAAAAAAGAGTGAATAAAAAATTAATGTGATTGGCAATGAAGATACCCTTTACCTGCAGTGTAATATACATCAGTAATTCCACCTAACACTGGTGGAACTCAAAAATCATTGTTGTTTTGGTATGTTATGAGAACTTAACGTTGTTGCTTTGATTTTAAAAACTGACAGTTTCTGAATTGATCCTGAGGTTGTCCATGAGAAGTCTACTCATGGATAACAGAAAGTGAAAGCCCAAAGTGAGAGTTAGATATTTTCTGTGATATTATATTTTTTGTCAACATATTTTCTTTATTGTGTATAGAACCATCCTTAATATATCTTAACGGCTTACAAAACGCATCCCCCAATAACCAAAACAAATATCCAACACAAGCAACTTACCATTGGGCCGGGCATGGAGATGCCAGCAGATTTCTCATCATAACCGTAAGACATTTGAGGAGCAAAGTTCTGGAGAGGAAAAAAAAAATATGTCAGTCAGTTTAAGGGTCTAGTTGTGCGGGTCTAGAACCAGTAAAGTATCATCATATGTCCAGGTTCCAGGGAGCACTTACTCCGCCAAGGCCAGGTAGACCAGGTGGACCAGGGGGCCCAGGTACGCCAGGTTGTCCGGGAATGCCATCTCTGCCAGGTGGGCCGGGAAGACCCTGAGAAGAACATATGATCACATTGTAATTTACATATAGTAAAGCAGACGGGTCATATCACTATATCTTAAACTATGTACTTTTCTTTGCAGCCCTGAACTGACACATTTATTACAAGTTGTTAACCCATATATGTTAGGAAGATCACAAATTAAATTATAATTAAATCATATTTTGCAGCTCACTTAATCCTTCTTAGGGAGCGGATTAAATGCACAGAAGATTAATATATATTTTTAAAAAAAACAAAAAACCTCTTGCTCTATAGGAGTAGGCTACCTTTGGCATTTATAATGTTGTGGACTAGAACTCCACTGATAATTTGCCAGCATTATGGATTTAAGAGCATTATGTAGTTCACAATATCTAAAATGGTCACCAACTATAGCTAGGTTATAGGTGTAAAGAAAAAAAATGAAACTTACTCTGTCGCCTTTAGGGCCTTCGCTCTTTGGACCCTGTGAACAGGTAAAGACAAGAGATTAGCACACAGAAGCACTTTCATTTGGTGGCATATTTAGACTGATATATTGTGGTTTTATTTTATTTTATTTTTTTAAACTTCAACTCACCTCTGCTTTAAGACGAAAATCAGAGTATTGGGGTTGACCGGCTGAATAAGAAAATATTTGAATGTTACATGGATATATACATCTTAACAGATAGTTATATGAAAGCACTTAAATGAATATACACATATCACCGAAAGGTTAAACATCAACAATGATAAAACATAATGCTTTTTTTTACACCAAATACACCAAAATAAAATTATCCTTTTGGGAATTGTTCAACTGGTGTGCGAAATCCGACACCTAACATTGCATGTGCTGCGGCTCAGTCCAAAGACCACTCATTATCAACATTTTTATTTACCTTCAGGGCATGTAGGGCAGCATTCTCCAAATGGAATTTCAGCGTTGGGACAATCTACATCTTCACAGATCACCTCGTCGCAGAGGATGTTTCCATTGTCACAGACGCAGATCTGGCAGGGATCGGGTTTCCATACATCTCTGTCGTTGTACTGTTGGCTGTTCTGGATGCACTGGGAAGAATAAGCTGGTGGGAGGAAAAAAAGAGAAAAAGACAAACCGGATTATAATATGTCAAAAATCTGAATGGAACGCGGAGCGAGGCATAAACTCGAGACACCTATGTTTTGTAAATATGGTAAAACAACAATTAAATCCGAGCCTAATCACTCGAAACACTAAATTTCATAAAATTCTTCATAACCAGTCTTATTTTAATAATATGCATTACAACAAAATATGAAGAATGCTAAATAATTCCAAATAATTTAAACTTCTGTACCAGTTTTCAGGATTCTATTTTCTGAAAGTGGAAATCTTTTTTTCCAAACCAGTTTATTGGAGTACGTCACATAGCAAAAGGGTTAAGATGCTGCCGAAAACATCTCCTACCCCAGCTGTATCTTATTTTTTTTTTTTTTGTAATATATTATTTTAACATCTGGTGTAAAAGAAAAAAAAAAAAGAAAAAAAAATCATCTGGTTCTCATCAGCCAGGAACACTGACGAGGGTAGAAGCTGCCAAAAGCATGGGGGCGGGAGGAGGGGAAAAAAAAGCTAAATATTTTGGAAGTCTCCAAGTTTTTCCAGGCTACAGTCTATTCCAAGCCCATGTTCATCTTAAGTTGCGGCTTTTGAGAGGGACAAAAAGGGGGAGCAAATGCAGTTTTTTTTTGGACAGGGGCAAGAAAGAAGGTGGAGTATGAATTTGAGAAGGCAGAAAAAAATAGTGGGAGTATCCATTGGAAGTGTGAGCCCCTGGAGGAGGAGGGGCAGCAGGATGCCACAGTTGTTGGGATACAGGATGAAACATGTTCAGGTACCAGTGGAATGTGAAAAAAAAAAGATAGAATGTGTTTGAAAGCAAGATATATGACACAGAAGCATTGAGTCTCACAAGCCATGGAAATTAGCCTGAAGGAAGAGAAAAACTAAGGCACTTAAAATAAATCCTCACTAGCACATTTAAAGCCTAGACTTGTAGGTGCTGAAAGTTAACTCTTTAAGTGCAAGTCAGGTGAGCAGCTCTAACTTTTGAATTGGTGAGTTAGTGGTGGGTTTAGTTGACGAGAAAGCAAAAAAATTTTTTACAAAAAATATTGAAAATTGCAGCATGTGAAAGATGTCATTTTAAATTCCCCTGCAGGTGTTATGTCAATGTTTGCAAATATAATTAGGGAAACAATAAGTGTTAATTGCCACACCCCATATACTTGGCTGCCATACCTGCTTTTACCACTAGGTGGCTTTGCTACATAATTGGAAAGTTGGAAAATAACAATTGGGGGAGAAAAAGCTAAAATTGATGAAAATCACTTTTCATCTATTAAATATCTGCTTTAATTAAGAATACTGACAAAATAAATAATTGTCCTTAATTTTGGAATTTATTAAGGATAAACTACAATTGCTTTTGCTAATGCTGGTGCAAGTTTTTTGACCGCCACAAGGTGGCAGTAGAGCAAACTGTTCTGGACCACTATGTAAAGTGAGCATCTTTAAATTGCAGTTCTAAATGTCTAGACATTTTTTCATCTTGGAATCTCTTGAAAACTTCTGCCATGAATCACTCCTTAGCATTTTTTATTATCCAGACCCCCACTTGATGACTTTAGCAGAGTGTAATGAAACCCACATGCCTGTGTGTATTCCTTAACCCTTCTCAACTTTTAGTTTCTCAATGCAACCATGAGATAATTTGTTTTCACAAAAAACAACCCATATTAAATCATACAGGAAAGGGGGGATTAAAACAATTCCCACCCACTTTTTTTTCACGCTCTTCCTAACGGCCAACTCGCTCGTAACATCTGCAAAAACCTCAAGGACTACATTTTGCAGACTTAACCCCATTTCTTCCATAAAACGCATGCATTTATTATCTACAATATGCAATCACTGGGTGTCTCACAAACAAAGCACTATAGAACATCACATTAACAAAGCCTAAAACAAAATTAACGATGCACAGAATAGGATAAAATAACTTTTCCAAGTATATGTACCACAACAAAACAATTGCATTGTTACTTTGTTAAGTACATATAGCATACTAAAAGAATTATAACTCAAAATGCATTACTTGGCCAATTCTACATCTATTGTCTATTACAATAGATGAGAAGGTGCATTTGTTTTTTTGCAAATTAGGTGTCTGGCCAATTATTACTTAGCCCAAGTTACTATAGCAGGGCTTTAAAAAGTACAATCTTTTAAGAACACAATGCATCTATCTGACACCAAGGTTTACTGCGAACAATGAATTGGTGTTACCAATGGAAGTCTACGTACCATCATCATCTTCTCCTTGACATCTTGTTACTAGGATTGTTGCTGCTATAACGAGCAGTATCCGTGAATCCACAAAGCTGAACATGTCTAAATATCAGACATGTAGACTCTCTGTGGCCCTGTCTAATTCCTTCTTAGGTCCTAGTCATACAGGGGTAGATTTAGTGGTTTAGTTCCAGTGCAGACCCCAGCAGAAACTTCCTACTGTATCCCAGCAAGTTGGGTTCCCTTTTTATATCCATCCACAACTCCAGAGAGGTGGGGTCCTTTCTCTAGTTCACAAAAAAAAAAAAAGTTGGAACAACACTGGTCCAGCCCTTTCTCCAATACCAGAACCCATGCAAAGGCTGACACACATGCAAAAAAAAAAAAAACTTTTAACAAAGCCAGCCCCTCCCTCTGTAGAAATGAACTATGCTTTCAGATCATTGCAAGCAGCTTGAGACCAAAGCCATTCTTAACTGACTTAAAACACTCTTAAGTATAAGACAATGGGATACATTTTTTCGCAAAATGTAATAATATTTTCTTTTTTGTATAGTAAACGGAAAGTCAAATTTGCCATATTCCAAAAATAAATAAATAAAATGTTCGCTTTATAGCAATCAGATAAAACAATTGTTATAATAAATCTATTATTTTTCTTCTTCTTTTTTTTTTTTGGTATATTGCTTATTGGGTTATTTGGATAACAATTAAAATAATTATTAGTGTTTTCGTTTTTTTGTAAAATGAACAAGTTCACAATGCTTTTAATAATAATAATAAACAACATAAAATCAAGCATAACAAAATAAGTTTGTTAGATATGAAATTGTCTTTCATTAAATTATATTTAATTTTAAATGCTTTTTTTATATTTATGCCACACACACACACACATATATATATATATATATTTTAAAAAGTATGAAAGCTATATAAGACCTTTGATTCCACTTGTATAATGAATTGAGTTAAATAACTGGAGAAACATTTTTAAATTATTTAAAATATAATGTAAGTGCAAATACATTTATTGAATAATATAAATATATGTATATATATGTATATATATATTTATACAAAAATATAGAAAAAAAGGAATTAAATATATAATGTTTTAAGCCAACATTCTTTTTTTTTTTTTTTTCTGAAATGTCTTTATGGCAAAAATCCACATTTGTTCCTGTTTAAAAAAGCCACGTTGGAAGAACGGCTGTGATATATGTAATATGTCATTTAATTTCTACAGGCAGCAATTATAGCTCAGCCATATGTGTTTAGCAGACAAGGAAGAATATACAGGTTGGTCAATGAGCCATCTTTAAATCATTACAATAATATAGAATTAAGATAGATTTTTGTTGCATTTGTTATTTTTGTAAGTACACTTTAGTCTTAAGGTTAAATGTTTGCAAAAGTCTTTTTATTTTGAGAAGATCTCGATTAGTCAGACATAGTGGTACTGGGAACTAGAGTTTGTGGTTTATGAATGAAAAACATAAAATTTATTTTCGAATATATTTCTGCAAATTATTTAAGTAGAATTTGGCATAACATAAGTGTTCTAAATATGACCCTAAAAATGAATCTTACATATAGAGAAATATTTATGGGCAAATACTTAATACAAAGAACGCGACAGGTTAGTGTCCCCACATACCGTATAACCATGTGACTGCGCTTTGAAAATATATTCAATTCAAATATTAGTGATAAACATATGGAAAATAAAGTGTGATGTCACGTGTTATGGAATAAAGCCTGTGCATCAGTTACTGAATCAAACTCTGAAATAATGGGTCAAATGTCAAAGTCCTTTGGGTTATTATGCCCAGACAGTGTACACAAAGGCCCGTATCCCAAAGTGAGATCATTAATGATCACCGTTAAAAAGAGCCAAGGAAAATAACTTACATTTCAAACTAAGGTTTGCATTTAAAGAAAGCTAAGCACCAGAACCGTCTTGATGTGGTTATGGTGCAAGAAGATTCACTGTCTCTTCACCTCTGATATAATATACTTGTCAAGTACTTCTACCCGTGGAGAGGTGTAATAGACTGTGAGAACTGGGAACGACTTATCCTGGTGTTCACAGCCTCTAATTGCTGTCCAAGGCTGGACATCTTTGGTCAGATAATGTGAAAGTGAAAATTAGATATTATCTCAGCAGCAGGTGAGGGGCTGGATTTGGGGTATCTGGGTGAGTCCCTTTTTTTCACACCACATAATCGTTTGACAGAGCATGATGAAATGCCAACCACAGACGTCTTTCAGCACTACAATTACATTAAAGTGAAGTGGGTATGGTGCTTAGAGCATTCCTTTAAGATTAACATTTGGAGAGCCTGTGTTGCGTCACGTCCGTGGCATAATAACTCTTAATTTCTCCAGAATGCCCAGAAGTAAAGCGCATTACCTAAATTGGAAATTACCTAGCATAGACAGGGGAAATTTAGGTTGAGTTGAGCAAGATTTTTCTCAAATTCAATTTTTTGGTCTAGAATTTGGCACACTCTTATTAATTCCCAACAATCCCAGTTTATCGAGCAAACCTGAAATCGTCTCTTTCTTGTGAGCTCTGTATTTTTTAAAAAGGTACTCTTTTAAACTATGGGAAAATCCATTGGAAGGAACCAGAAGGATTGATAAGTGCCTGTAGGTCCAACGTGAAAATGAATGATTTTGAAATGTTCTAGACTCAACTCTTAAAATTGGTGAATCTTTTTTTATAGCTCAAGCAAGATTAGAATCATCCATTGGATGAAAATACTGCACACACACACTGTAATTCGGGAAATGTTTTCCGTGTGAATAGAATTTGATCAGAAGAGCTTGCAATTTATGGTTGTCTAGTGATATCTGCAATGGAATGATATAGAGAGCGATAGATGGATGGACGGGCAGACAGACTGGACGAAAGTGGACGGATGGACAAACATGTCAGCAGGACCCTCGCCATCTTCTGTCCCTGTATGACCAACCTGGCTTGTTGCAAATAGATAGATAGATAGATAGACAGACAGACAGACAGACAGACAGATAGATAGATAGACAGACAGATCAATCGATCGATCGATAGATAGATAAATAGATAGATAGATAAATAGTTAGATAGACAGATAGATAGATAGACAGAAAGACAGACAGATAGACAGATAACTAGTTAGATAGACAGATAGATAGATAGATAGATAGATAGATAGATAGATAGACAAATTGACAGAGTGGCAGAAAGACAAACATACAGAAATACAAATTGATAAGGCTGGATAGAGAGATAGATAGTCAGACCCAGGGACGGACAAATAGGTAAACCCTAAACCCGTAGTCATTATTTAGGTAGATGATGGAGAGCCAGATTTAGTTCTCCCCTCTGTGTGACACGTTGTATTTGGGGGATGGTGATGGTTGCACTGACTATTGTGTGATCATATAAATTGTAATTAGAACCACAGCACATCCCAGAAAGCATATCCAGATATAGCTGAGTTCACATATCCACGCAGACACGTTGCATGATCATTTCTCCGTCCCTCCCTGAGATTTTTTTTTTCATGGCTGGAACCTGTTCAGAGCCGAGATGTGTCTTTAATTTTTGAAGCATGACAGAAAAGAAAAGAATGCATTTTTTTTTCTATATGTAGAAGCAGAAAACAGACGTTGCCACCTCACCACTTCTAACAGCCTGCCTGGAAAGGGGCTGGATAACTGTACAATCAATTCCTCATTCCTGCTGTCTATCTAATAACCCATTCTCCAAGTAGCTGTGTTTGCACCTACATATGCTTTTGTATTTTTCACTGAGTTAAACTACAGATTGCTAGTGTGTGTCGTGTTTCTGTTAATGGTTGTGTTTCTGGTTCTATATGTCAGTGCGACTGTGTCATGTGCCTATGTTTTACTGTGTCTGTGTATGCTTCTATTACAGTCAATGTCTGTGTCTCTAATATAGTGTATCTGTATCTGGTACAGTGTATCTGTATGTGTCTCTGTTATAGTGTATCTGTATCTGGTACAGTGTGTCTGTATGTGTCTCTAATATAGTGTATCTGTATCTGGTACAGTGTATCTGTATGTGTCTCTGTTATAGTGTATCTGTATCTGGTACAGTGTGTCTGTATGTGTCTCTGTTATAGTGTATCTGTATATGTTACAGTGTATCTGTATCTGTATCTGTTACAGTGAATCTGTATCTGTTACAGTGTATCTGTATGTATCTGTATATGTCTCTAGCATTGTGTATCTGTATCTGTTACAGTGTATCTGTATGTGTCTCTGTTACAGTGTATCTGTATATGTTACAGTGTATCTGTATCTGTATCTGTTACAGTGAATCTGTATCTGTTACAGTGTATCTGTATGTATCTGTATATGTCTCTAGCATTGTGTATCTGTATCTGTTACAGTGTATCTGTATGTGTCTCTGTTACAGTGTATCTGTTACAGTGTATCTGTATGTTTCTCTAACATTGTGTATCTGTATCTGTTACAGTGTGTCTGTATGTGTCTAGATTCCAGTGTGACTCCAGTGTGTCTTCATTTGACTCTGTTGCATTGTATCTGAATATGTACATCTGTGTCACCACATGTATGTATCTATATGTGTCTGAGTTACAATGTGTGTACATGTGTCTGTACTACATTGTGTCTGTATGTATCTGTGTCTGTAGGTGGAACATGAGTGGAACATCTCCCTAAGCATTAGGTTAGCTTGGGATGGACATTGGGGACCCCCAGTTTTGGTCAAACTGAAATATGGTTTAATCCAAATAAGGGGACAACATCAACTAATTGTATTAAAACCACTTCTACTGCATGCAGTGGTTATGGTGCCTAGACTGCCTTTTTAATATAGGGGCTGGAGAATTAAGATGCAATGTGAGGAGAAACTATTACCTTGCAGAGAGGATAATAATGAATTGGAGCAACCTTCCAGCGGATGTAGTAAAGGGTAGAATGAATTAAAGGGACCATGTAGGCACTGTAACTGCTTCATCTAGTTGAAGTTGTTATGGTGTCTGGAGTCCCCTGGCACTGTCCTTCAATTCAGAAGTCAATACATTTTTAATGTTTTAATGCTAAACAAGAGTCCTCAGCAATGGGTGGCTGTGTTTGGCTCAGAGTTTCAACGGACCACCTTCAGTCTATAGCAGCGCCCTTTGGTGGGATGAATTGGTATGACTAGAAGGAAGTGCGTAATCTCTGCCTCCAGTGGGGGCCAAGCTGTGATTGGCCAGGGACCATTATTAATGTTAAACTGCTCAAAAATGGTTTAACA